GGGGTGGGGGTGGGGTGGTGTGGGGGTGGGGGTGGGGTGGGGTGGGGGTGGTTAAGGAGCTTGTTGAGAGCAGGAGGGGGAAGAGTTCAGCTGTCTCTGGTCTCTGGGGGGGAGAACGAGTCACAGGAGACGAGGGAGTGAACCTTATATCAAGTCAACAACAGTAGCAACAACTTGGATTTATATCGCGCCCTCCACACCAGACGGCATCTCAGAGCTTCACAATAACGGATCCCAGAGCCGAGCCGGGGGGGGGGAGGAGCCAGGGGAGGGGGAGGAGCCGGGGGAGGAGAGGAGCCGGGGGAGGGGGAGGAGCTGGGGGGAGGAGCCAGGGGAGGGGGAGCAGCTGGGCTAGCAGGAGGAGCCAGTGGAGGGGGAGGAGCCAGGGGAGGGGAGGAGCCGGGGGAAGGGGAGGAGCCGGGGAGGGGAAGAGCCAGGGAGGGGAGGAGCCGGGGAGGGGGAGGAGCTGGGGGAGGAGCCAGGGGAGGAGCCAGGGGAGGGGGAGGAGCTTGGGGGGAGGAGCCAGGGGAGGGGGAGGAGCTGGGGGGGAGGAGCCAGGGGAGGGGGAGGAAGGTGACCAAAGGTGCGGTCGAAGAGAAAGGTCTTCAGCCGAGACCTGAAAATAGGAAGGGAGAGGGCGAGGGGAAGGGAGTGAGGAAGGGAGCTCCAGAGCCTCGGGGCGCAGTGGCTGAAGGCACAGCCGCCGAGGGGGGAGCGGAGGACTCGGGGGACGAGGAGGAGGCCAGACCCGGGGGGACGAAGGCAACGGGTACTGTTTTGAGGAGAGAGGAGGTCAGAGAGGTCGGGGGGTGCAGAGGAGTGCAGGGACTTGAATACGAGGTGAGGATCTTGAAGTGGATCCTCTCTGGGACAGGAGTCAGTGCAGTCTGGACAGGACTGGGGGTTCGGGAGAGGGGTTTGGGTTGGGGGAGGGCCAGGACTGGGGGATCGGGGAGAGGGGTTTGGGGGTGGGGGGAGGGCCAGGACTGGGGGGATCGGGGAGAGGGTTTGGGGGTGGGGAGGGCCAGGACTGGGGGGATCGAGGAGAGGGGTTTGGGGGTGTGGGGAGGGCCAGGACTGGGGGGATCGGGGAGAGGGGTTTGGGGATGTGGGGAAGGGCCAGGACTGGGGGGATCGGGGAGAGGGGTTTGGGGGTGTGAGGGAGGGCCAGGACTGGGGGGATCGGGGAGAGGGGTTTGGGGGTGTGAGGGAGGGCCAGGACTGGGGGATCGGGGAGAGGGGTTTGGGGGTGTGGGGGAGGGCCAGGACTGGGGGGATCGGGGAGAGGGGTTTGGGGGAGTGGGGGAGGGCCAGGACTGGGGGGATCGGGGAGAGGGGTTTGGGGGTGTGGGGGAGGGCCAGGACTGGGGGGATCGGGGAGAGGGGTTCGGTACGGGTGAGAATGCGGGCGGCAGAGTTTTGTGTGACCTGGATTTGATGGATGGTAGTGGAGGGGAGGCCGGCGAGGAGGGTAATTGAATAGTGCAGCCGAGAGGTGACAAAGACATGGACCAGGGTTTCAGCGGCTTTCGGAGAGAGGTATTGGCGGAGAAGGCAATGGAGGTGAAAGAAGGCGGTGCTGGTGAGGGACCGGTTGTGGGGGAGGAAGGATAATTAGGGGTCGAACCTGACGCCTAGATTGCTTTCGGGTTCGGAGAGTTTTAGTGGGAGGTCGGGTAGGTGGAGGAGGTGAGAGCCGTGAGATTTTAGACGTTGATGAGAGCCAAAGAGTATGGTTTCCATCTTGTCAACGTTCAGCTGAAGAAAGTTTGCGCTCATCCAGCCCCTGAGATCTGACAGGCAGAACATCAGGGGACTGGGGGGTCGCAAAGAGAGGTGGAAAAATAGAGTTGGGTGTTGTACATGTGGAAATGTACCCTATGTCTGCGGACGACATCCCCAAGAGGGAGCATGTAGATCAGAGAGAGGAGGGGGCCCAGGATGGATCCTTGGGGTACCCGCAGGTGACCGGGTGAGAGTGGGAGGAGAAGCCGTTTATGCAGATATACTACTGGCAGTTTGTGAGGTAGGACTCGAACCGGGCGAGTGCGGTCCCACTGAGGTGGATGACAGAGGAAAGGCGGTGGAGGAGGATGGCGTGATCGACTGTGTCGAATGTGGCAGAGAGGTCCAGGAGGACAAGGAGGCAGAGGAGCCCTGGTCACAGATAGAGAGGATGTCGTTTGTGACTTTCACAAGTGCAGTGAGGAAGTCTGTGAGGAAGTAGGAAGGAGAGGAGAGCAGTCGCGCTGAGTGGGGTGTGCGAGGCGTGGGCAGAGTGCGAGAGGATTTGTGTGATGGCTTGTTGGCTGGAGTTTGGGGGCGGGGGGCCGGTGTAATGATGACCGAGGGATGTGCTACATGTGCTGAAGTGGAACTACAGAAGGTGATTTAATTGAGATATTTAAAATAATAAAGGCATTCGATAGGGTAGATGTAGAGAAACTATTTCATCTGGTGCGGGGAATCCAGAACAAGGGGGTATATCACCCACAAAAGTACACAGTCACTGCACTTTATAGTGTATTCTGTGAAGCACTTTGAGACATCTCGAAGACCTGATAGCAACAACAAATTACACTATACAGTGCCCCTCACGTCGGCAGGACGTCCCAGGGCACTGGACAGTCAGGGTTTATTGGATCCGAGCTGGAAGTTGGGGTCAGGAGGGGTGGAGGGCGGGGGGAGGGTGGGCTCGGGAGGGTGGCTGAAGGCACGGTTGAAGAGGAAGGTCTTTAGATGGGACTTGAAGGAGAAAAGAAAAGGGCTGAGGTGGAGGGATTGCAGGATAGAGTCCCAGAGGTTGGGAGCAGAGATGCTGAATGCCCGACTGCCAATGGGGGGCGGGAAGCGCGGGGGGACCTGAAGCAGCCGGTGTCCGCCGAGCGGGGGGAACGGACAGGCTGATATGGGGTCAGAAAGTCGGAGAGGTCGGGGGGAACAGTGCTGTATTAAATGCAAGTATTATTATTATTATTATTATCTTAAAATGAACGAGGCCAGGAGTGAAATCTTTATCTTAAACCACTTGTTTCATGGGAAATGAGGAGCTCTCCCCCCCCCACCCCCCCCACCCCCAAAAGGCTGTGGATTCTGGAACTACTTAAATATGTAAACCTGAGGTGGATAGATTTCTGCTCTGTCAGGGTATCAAGAGATTTGAAGCAGAGGCGGGTAAATGGAGTTGAGGTACAGATCAGCCATGTGGAGCAGGCTTGAGGGGCTGAATGGCCTCTTCTCTATGTGCCTTTGCTGCGGTGACGGATTACTGGACAGTCTCATTGCTCCGACACTGAGACACGTTATTTGGCAGGAGTCAGGATCACACAGGAACACAGTGCCACAATTGTGCCTCGATCTAATCTCCCAAAGTCCAGTGACATTGCTTAGCAACACTTAGCCGCTCAAACACTTGGAGAGAGCGAGAGGGGAGGGAGGGGAAAGTTTTAGTGTCGTGTAGAGAGCTGTAAGGAGTTTGCTCAGGGTGAGGACCCAGGACAGGGTGGGGGGGACGAGGGGAGAGAAGGGGGTCCACTTGTGAGAGAGGACGCCCTCTCTCCCTCCTGCCCAGCTGTTCATATCACTGTCTGCGTTCGGGAAGCTCTCGGCTCGTGTGACAGCCCGCAGCCCAGTTTGGCTCAGCCCTGGGGCAGTGGGGGTTGGTGGGGGGGGGGTGGTGGGGGGTGGGCTTTCTTCCTGGTTCAGCTGCTGGTGTAAACGGTGTGTGTATAATAATAATAATAATCCTTGCCTTTGATATAATGCGATATATATATATGACGTCTCAAAGCGCTTCACATGATACACTGTAGTGACTGTGGGGAGCGGGGGGTTCACGGGCTGGGAGTCTGTCTCAGTCCGAGCGATGGTTTGGTTTGGATCCGGCAGCTCCTGGTCACGGAGCGAGGATATTGCTGCGATTGAGGGGATACAGTGGAGGGAAAAAGAGAAGGTTAAGGGGTGAGATGATTGCCGTCTTTAAGATTCTGAAGGAAACAGATAATATAGACCATGATAAGCTGTTTCATCTTGTACCAGAGGACACGGCCTGCGATTGAAGGGGGAGTACACTCAGAACAAATCTGTGGAAACACTATTTCAGTGAGCGAGTAGTAAATGTATGGCACAGGCTCCCTGGGGAGACAGACGGTGGAAACAGAAATGCCCTTTGTTTCAAGAACAAATGCAAGAGATTTGTGCGAGAAAATAATATTTCAGGATACAGTGTATTCCACTGTCGACATGTCAAGCGACTGCCAGGATGGTGGTGGAAGATGAACTATATAAATCTTTATAAGTCACTGGTTAGGCCTGAGCTGGAGGACTCTGTACAATTCTGGGCACCACACTTTAGGAAGGATGTCAAGGCCTTGGAGAGAGTGCCGAAGAGAGTTGCCAGGAATGAGGGACTTCAGTTACGTGGACAGATTAGCGAAGCTCGGATTGTTCTCCTTAGAGCAAAGAAGGTTAAGGGGAGATTTCATAGAGGTGTTCAAAATTATGAAAGGTTTTGTTAGAGTAGATCAAGAGAAACTGTTAGTACTGGCAGGTGGGTCGGTAACCAGGGGACATAGACTTAAGATAATTGGCGACAGAACCAGAGGGGAGAGGAGGAGACATTTTTTTTACACAGAGAATTGTTACGGTCTGGAATTCACGGCCTGAAAGGATGGGGGAAATAGATTCAATAACAACTTTCAAAAGGGAATTGGAGAGGGACTTGAAAAGGAAATAGTTGCCGGGATATGGGGAACGAGCGGGGGAGGGGGGGCTGATTGGGTAGATCTTCCTAAGAGCCGGCGGAGACACGATGGGCCGAATGGCCTCCTTCTGTGCTGTAATATTCTATGATTCTAGATGGCCCTTGGTCTTCTTTTGCCGAACAAATTCTTATGTTCTTAACAAACCCTGCGCTCGCTCCTCGACAACCCACCTGGGGGAGGGGGTCCCGGTCGGCTGGCCTGTCTGACAGTCTCTCTCTCTCTCTCTCTCTCCTGCAGCAACACGCTGGGGCGCGGTGGGCATCGGGGACAGTCAGCGGGCCCCCAGTTGATGTGTTGGGAGGTACTGCTGCCTCGGCCGCCAGGTAGGGGGCGCTACTCGTAACCTTCATTTCCAGGGCAATTGTTTGTGCCGGGGTTTGTGCTGTGTGTTTGAATGCCTCTTTTCACTTGTCGTCCCCTTTCTCCCCTTTTTTGCTTCCTCCCTTCCTTTCCTCCCATCCCCTGGGTTGTATTTCATCCTGTCCCCCCCCCCATTCGACCTGGTTCTCAGAGAGCGATCAGGAGCGGAAACCCTGAGGGTCCCGGCCCCCCAAAACCACCTTCCCTCCCCCAAAGTAACTGCTGCGGACATTTGGGCAGCTGTATCCCCAGCAGTGGTGGGCTCAGCATTGCTCAGTGTCTCCCAGTGTCTGTCAGCTCAGGTTCCAAACTGGTCCCAGGAGGCGCTTGTTTACCAGCGAGAGAATCACCCGGACAGCCATCTCCTCATCGTGTTTGTGCTGGGGCTCGCTCCCCTACTGGAGCTCTCTACTCTACCCCCATTCCCTGCTCTCTCTCCCCCCTTGGTGTCTGTGCTCCCCCACTGGAGCTCTCTACTCAACCCCCATTCCCTGCTCTCTCTCTCTCTCTCTCTCTCCCCATGGTGTCTGTGCTGGGGCTCGTTCCCCCACTAGAGCTCTCTACCCCCATTCCCTGCTCTCTCTCTCTCCCCATGGTGTCTGTGCTGGTGCTCGCTCTGGTTCATCCTCCATCTATAGTATAATAATAATATAATAATAATCCTTTCACGTCGGAAGTACATCCCAAAGTGTTTCACAGGGATTTTCAGAAAAGTGGAGTGTCTGTAGATTTATTGTTTGTCTCTCCTCCAAACACCCCACCCCCACCCCCCACCCCCCCACCGCCCAGCAGCGAGGAACACAATATCACAATATTATCAGCCGGGCTGGGGGAGGGCTGAGGGAACACATTTTGGTCTGATTCAACTCACTGTCTCTGCCAAGATGGTGAGTTTCAGACAGGGAGAACGGCTTGGCCTGGCCTTGACATGCTCACACCCACACCACAGCTCTTTAATTTGGAGGATACTTATCTGCGGCAGACAGAGGTGTCCCTTTAAATACCCTTTAAGTATCGAACTGCAGTCAGGGACGTCCTTGTGCACAAGGAGCCGTGGGATTTAGTTTTATCTTAATGCAAAGTTTCGCTTTCCCGTGTCTCTAAAGCTATTTGCATAGCTGAAACCATTGAGAATATTGTGATCTGTTTTGAGATCATTTACAGTGATTGCGCGTGAACGTAGAAACAAAGAGACAGAGAGAGAGAGAGAGACACAGAAACACACACGCGCGCATACAGAGAGAGAGAGCGAGAGAGAGTGAGAAAGAGAGACACACACAGGCACAGAGACACACACACACAGTCAGAGAGAGAGACTGTCGGTTTAGAGGCTGATGTGTGTTTCTCGCTGCAGAAACTCCTGATTGCAGTCAGTGAACGGATTGTCCAGAATTTTCCACGTTCTTAAATTTTAAGACAATCTTCTTAAGGCTAAGACTGTGAGGAATTTCAGGCTGCTGGTGTGTTTGGTCTGGAGATGGCGCGCCAGAGGATGGGGGGGGTGGGAGAGCGCTGGCGGGTGGGGGAGGGGGTGAGGCAGGAACCTGCCCCAAAAATACAGATAATAATTTGGTCACTTCCAATCCACGACTGTTTGTGGGGACACTACTGTGGGATGCCACGTTTTGTCCATAAAATAGCTTCACAGGTTTTGATAGGGTCGACATAGGGAAGATGTTTCCAGTTGTGGGGGAGACCAAAACCGGGCCCTTCAATATAAAATAGTCACAAATAGATCAAATGGGGAAGTTAGAAGAAGTTTCTTCACATAGAGAGTAGTGGGAATGTGGAACATGCTACCGCAAGGAGTTGTTAAGGCAAATAATATCGATGTGTTTAAGAGGAAGCTAAACGGTTACTTGACAGCGAAAGGAATAGAAGGTTCTGCTTGAAGGCTTAGTTGAGGAAGGGCAGGAGGAGGCTCATGTGGAGCATAAACATGGGATAGACCAGTTGGGCCGAATGGCCTGTTTCTGTGCTGTATATTCTATTGAATGTACAGTATATTCTGTGAAGCGCTTTGAGACGACTTGAGGACGTGATAAGGCACAAGGTCAAATGCAAAGATTATTGTTATAATTTTGCACACAGCAAAAACCCTACAAACAACTCTGAAACGGCACCAGCACCGAGTGGCCTGAGGGGCTGCGACACCTGACTGTGTGTCCAGGGATCAGTGCTCCCAGATACAGACTGTGTACAACGGGAATCACACACAGACGCTGCCTCTGCTCCGGGAGGTTGATGAGCTGTCAATAACCTGCAGTTGCTGCCCCGAAACTCTGCCACTCTCTCCCTCTATCCCTCCCTCTGCTTTGCCCTTCCTTCCCCGTCTTCAGACCTGTGTCTTCGACCGTGCTCGGAGACGTGCTCCGCCACCGTCAAGCACCCTGGGACGCTACCCTGCGTGAGGGGGCGTGGTGTAAATACAAGTTGTCGTCGTCGTTGTGCGCGCTGAGAGTCCCGGTTGTGTTTACGCTGATTGTTTGATCGCCAACACAGGGAGCTCGCTGACCCCGGCACAGCCTGACGGGGGCTCGACATGGGCTTCTGGATCCAGCTCCGACTTCTCCTGTGGAAGAACTTCACCTTTCGTAAACGACAGACAGTAAGTGTCCGTGATGTGTTACATGTTCTGGCTCGGCTCCGCGGTTCCTGTGGCGCTGGCCAGACCCTGGCTTCCCGCGGCCCCAGGTTGACTTGGGTCGTGTATCCAGGCTTCCAAACGGCGTTGCACAAAGTATCACATAAAGACTCGGTCACAAGCTGCGGTCACTGAGTGTCAAGGACAAGACATGGTCATGGCTTCAGAATTGACTGAAGGGAAGGGATGAGAGGGAAGGGATCTTTATTGGGGAGCGAGGTCACAGTGGGGGTGGTGGGGATTAAGAGGCTGCCTCCGGGTGTCTACTGGGACCGTCCTGTTCCTCCTCTCTATTAATGACCTGGATATGCGAGGCAGAACGCTCACTGTAAAGAGACATAAGAACATAAGAATTTCCTGGCGAAAGAAGACCGAGGTCCATCCAGTTCACCTTCCACCAGGTCCGCCATGACAGCACATGTCGTGTTCCAAACTATATGTTATATCCAAGATATAGTTCTGGAATGAATCAACACTTTCTGCTTACTGTCTGTCTCTCTCTCTCTCTCCCTGGGGAGGCTGTTCCATACTTTTACTACTGCTCAATGAAGTAGCGTTTCCGAGATTTGTTCTGAATTTACCCCCCGTTCGATCGCAGGTCGTATCCTCTGGTTCTGCTGTGAGGCAGTGGTTGGGTTAGGTTCAGGGACGGCTCCATTGACCGGTCATTGAGCTCCCTGGAAGCAGCTTCACAGCTCACACATCTATTTGCCAAAGCCCCTGAGCTGGAGTCTGGAAAATCTTTATAAATCACTGGTTGGGTCTCAGTTGGAGTTTTGTGTCCATTCTGGGCACCACATTTTAAGAAGAATGTCAAGGCATCGGAGAGTGCAAAGGAGATTTACCAGGATGATGTCAGTTATTGGGGAGACTACAGAAGATTGTAATATTCTCTTTAGAGCATAAAAGCATATTAAAGGGTGATTTAATAGAGGTGTTCAATATTATGAGGGTTTTTGATACAATGAATAGGGAGAAACTGTTTCCTCTGGCGAGTGGGTAGGTAACCTAGATTTAAGATAAATCCCCCAGAGGGGAGAGGAGGAGACATTGTTTTACACAGAGAGTTGTTACGGTCTGGAATGCACGGCCTGAAAGGATGGGGGAAACAGATTCAATAACAACTTTCAAAAGGGAATTGGAGAGGGACTTGAAAAGGAAATACTTGCCGGATATGGGGAAAGAGCGGGGGAGGGGGGGCTGATTGGGCAGCTCTTCCTAAGAGGCGGCACATGGGCATGGGCCGAATGGCCTCGTTCTGTGCTATAATATTCTATGATTCTATAAACTTGTACAGACACCACACTTTACAGTGAATCCCGTGAAGCACTTTGAAACATGCCCCCCCCTCCCCCCCGAAAGACCATCAAATGTGAGGATTCTTATTTAGTAAAAATATTAAAACAAAGGAATGAATTGACCGTATATTTTATGTTTTGTGGGTGAAAAAGGGGAGAGACACTTATACAAGGTCACGAGAGAGAGAGAGAGAGAGAGAGAGAGGGGGTGGGGTTATGAGAGGGATGTGGGGTTGAGGAGAGTGATTTCGGATTTACAAGGATTTATTTTGCGGGCGTGCGGTCCTGATGTGTCGGATCGCACAGCCGTAATGTGTCTAATGATTATTCTCTGTGGGACCCTCCTGATCCTCCTCTATATCTCTGTGGCTCTGTGTTCAGGTGCAGCTGATTATCGAGCTCCTGTGGCCTCTCTTTCTCTTCTTCATATTAATCTCCGTGCGCCAGTCACACCCGCCCTTCGAGCAGCACGAATGTAAGTAGCATCGACCGTGCCCTCCTTACCCCCCCACCCCCCCCACTGCCCTCCGCTCTCCCCGATCCCGCTCCCAGGTCCGAAACATCGATTGTCCAGCTCCTTGGGATGTGCTCCTGGCGTGAAGGGTGCTGGACACACGGAATTTTGTAGTTGTTGTAGCTTTCGCACCACTCACTGCGATCATTGTGACGGTCACTAGCGAGACTCCGACAGTAACATAACCCAAACCTGCTCAATGTAAACACCGTATCATCATCTTCATCATCATCACTATAAACCACCCTCCTCGGCTGGTCGCTCGGTCTCTGCTACTGCATCAAACAACCACAACAATCTGCGTTGATTTGGCGCCTTCCCCATCGGGAGGACGCCCCAAGGTGTTACATCACTGGCTGCCGGCGTGGGGGACAGGGATGGGGACTGGGCTGTATTGGGATTTGATGGGAATTTGGGATTTGATGGGAATTTGGGATTTGATGGGACCTCTTTTCTCCCTCAGGTCATTTTCCAAACAAGGCCTTGCCGTCAGCGGGAACTCTGCCGTGGATCCAGGGAATTATCTGCAACGTGAACAACCCCTGCTTCCAGCACGCCACACCGGGAGAGACCCCAGGAAACGTGGGCAACTTCAACCAGTCCATGTACGTGCTGCTCAATCACCTCTGTACTGACCTCAGCCCAGCCCTGCCTGACCCCTCAGCCTTAACCCCCCTCCTCCCCAGTCCAGCCCTGGGTGACCACTCAGCCTGACCAACTCCTAGTCCAGCTACTCAATCTGACCCTCAGCCCCCCTGACCCTCAGCCTGATACCATCTCAGCCCCGGACACGATTATTTGCTGTGACTCTGTTCAGGTGTAGCTATTGAGCTCCTGTGGCCGTTCTTTCTCTTTTTCATATTAATCTCTGTGCGCCAGTCACACCCGCCCTTCGAGTCTCCGTTGAGAGGCAACAACCGGAGTGATTCTCTCTCATTATCGTCTCCCTCTTTGTTTTGACTTGCCAACAACCGACAGGCGAGCAGTTGAATTTGATGGTTGTGGTTGAAGCCACATGGTGGACCTAAGGCCCAGCTCATCCTGTCCCTCAGTGACCTTAGGCTTATTCTGGTTCTGCGTACTCTCTCTCTCTCTCTCTCCCTCTCTCTCGTGTCTGATTCACATCCTTTGGTTAATGTGGGCTGAGAGCAGAGAGCTCGCTTACCCCTCGGAACAAAATGAGAGTACAAATATCTACACAACTTGTTGCACGTTTCACCACCCGCAATGGTGAGACTTGCAACAGGTCTTGTACATATTTCTACACCACTTTGCTCCATTGAGAGGCAACAACGACAACAAATTACATTTGTTATCACGCCTGGAAGACATCCCAAGACCTGAACAACCGGAGTGTTTGTCTCCCATCATCGCTGAGCCTCCTCCTCCCTCGTTTTGACTTCCCACAGTCCTCACCCCTTTCCCAGCAACCAACTGAGCAGCTCTGACTTACAATGTTGTGGGTTCAAGCACCATGTTGGAAGTCGCAGTCTATCCAGTGCAGTGATCGAGGGGGATGTTGCTAGGCTTCGGATTAAAGTTAAACTGTCTGTCTGTTCAGGTGGGTGTTAGAGATCCCATGGCGCTATTGAGAAAAAGAAGGGAGTTTCTCTCTCTCGGTGTCTTGGCCAACAATCCCCCAAATAAAGTTGGTCACTCACTTTATCTGAAATATTGATGAGTGCAAATTGGCTGCCACTCTCGCCTACAAAATACAGTCACTTCACTATATGGTAAAACCCTGTGAAGCGCTTTGACACACTCTCCTGATGCGGAAGACGCTGTATCAAGTGCAATAATTGCAGAATTCCCCATCATAGTTGTTCAGCGCCAAATGGATCATGGAACGGATTCACTGCCCACCGGAGTCTGTATCCTCCATCTACTCCTGGTTCAATTCCCAGGAGGGCCAAGTCTCCTTACGCCTCGGTTTACCTAGCAGTAAGTAGGAACCTGGTCATTAGTCGATCGGCGGATCGCTTTCTAGCGATAATAATCCCTCCAAAAAATAAATAAATTTGGGTCACTGAATCCATGACTGTTTGCGGGACACTGCTGTGCGCTATTGGCTAAGGTGAGGTGAGGATTGTAGGCAGAGACTGGAGCTCCACAGTGAGAGGGTTAATGCTACAAAACCACTTCTCACATTCCCGCCTCAAGCCAAGCGACTGAGGTCTGTATATCCGCTGTGAGGATATTAATTTCCTCCCTTTCTCTGATTCAATGCTGTTGAGGTGGGGATCCTACAACAATGAGATCAATGGGCTGTGGTGTCCTCTCCAGCCAAAGCAAACCTCTCTCATGACCATGGGAAATGGGTTTCATTGATCGAGGCCTTGCTACCCTGCCCAGCACTGATCACTCAGACACCCAGTCAGGTGTAGCAGCCCCTCTGACTGCTCGGAGCTGGTGCCATTTCATTGCTTTTGTAGGAGGTTTTTGCTGGGTGCAAAATTATAATAATAATAATCCTTGCATTTGATATCGTGCCTCATCACGTCTTTGAGACGTCTCAGAGCACTTCACAGGATACACTGTAAAGTGAATTGGCTGTATATTTGTGGGCGAAACGCATCAGCCAATTGCGCACAGCAGCGTCCCACAAACACTCATGGATTGAAGTGACTAAAGTATTATTAACCCCAGGAAAGTGATCCACCAATTGACTAACAACTGGATTCCTACTTACTGCTGATAAACAGAAGCGTGTGGAGTAAGGAATCAAACCCAGGTCTCTCGCTTGCGAGGCGAGTGCTCTAACCACTGACCAACAGGACTCCACAAATTCGCTGCAATGTTCCCCTACAAAATACACAGCTGCTGCACTTTCCACGCATGACATGGTCGCCTGACGCCGTTTCCGACACGCATGTGCTAACAACGTACAGTGTGTTGATTTGCTTGTCAGAACGGATCGGCTTCAAGATCCTCGTGCTGGTCGGTGGCTGCACTTTCAGCTGCTTCGCCCTGAAACTCTGAAACCCTCTTCCTCTATCGCCTGCCTTGCCCCTTCCCTGTTTTCAGAACACGCCAGAAGACCTTCCTCTTCGACCGTGCCTACGGTCATCTCCCTTCCCCCACTCTCCCCCTTCATGCGGCTCAGTGTCGAGCTCCGCCAATGTTATGCGCTCTGAGACGCTGCACCGCGTGAAGGGCGATGTGTAAAAGCAAGTTGTTGTTGTTGTTACAGCATTTCCCGGTTATTTGCCGACGCCCAGAAGGTGTTGAGACACGCCAACCAGGACCGGACGCTGGCCAGCTTCCAGCAGCTGCTCACCGTACTGAATCAGCTAGAGAGGAAACGCTCAGACCTGGCAGGTGAGTGTCACATACACCCCGCAAGGACTCAGCCAGGTAGCATGGAATCTGACTGACTGTACAGCGTAGCACTGGGGCCAGAGCTGATCGAGGGAGATGCCAGCCACCTTAGGGACCTTTGCTTAGAGTCCTGCAGCTCAGTGGTTAGAGCACTCTCCTCACGAGCAAGAGACCTGGTTTCTATTCCCAGCAAAGCGAAATACTGGGCAAGTTTCCTTACTCCACACACCTGTTTACCAGCAGTAAGTAGAAGCCCACTTGTTAGTCAATTGGCCAATCGCTTTTCCGGGGATAATAATCCCTTCCAAAAAAAATAATAATTTGATCACTCAATCCATGACTATTTGTGGGACGCTGCTGCGTGCAATTGGCTGCCACGTTTCGCCCACAAAATATACAGTCACTACACTTTACGGTATATCCTGTGAAGCGCTTTGAGACGTCTCGAAGACATGCTATATCAAGTGCAAAGATTATTATTACTATTATGTTTAAATCAATACTAATTTAATTTGCACAGCGCCTTTCACATCAGCAGGAGTCCCAAAGCGCTTCACAATCCTGGCTGGGTACCAAGGCTGGGGGAGGGTGTCTGACACATGTGGAAACCCATCACCATGCTTAAGAGTATCCAATCCAAACAGATGCATCCCACCTACACGTGGAAATCCCAGAGATAGATTGTTGGAATGGATTGGCTCCATCTCTCTCTCTCTCTCTCCCTCTGGAGGGACGCGACCTGCTTACCTAATTCCAGAGAGTATCAGGCACAGGTTGGCAAGAGCCAAGGCTTGTGGGGAGCCCAGAGTGTGTGTTGGGGTAACTGCTGGAGTCTAACCAGCTAAAACCACATAGCCGTTTGAGAGCGCTGTCCAGCCAACTTTCCCGCTGCTTGTCCAGCTAGGACCATCCCACCCATCAGGGCTTTGTGCTGCAGGGCTAACAGGAGCTGATGGGGAGGATTCCCTGACCCCAGTGACTGGTCGGCCCTTCCAGGTCCTGCCGATAAGCCAGGCTGAGCTGTGCGGTTATCGGCAGTGAGTGCCCTGGTACTGCCCTGATATGCGCAGCAGCCTGGTATGTGCAGCAATGCGGCAGCCGTGTGAACTCCGTGTAAACGGGGGCTGTAGGGGGGCGAGGCGCACTCTGCTGGCGGGGAGCGATGCGATTGGCTCAAGTCTTGGCTCGGGCCGGACTTGCTGCCATCCAGTGACACTTCTGAGCCCCGGCCCAGCCATTACTGCAAATCAATAGACCGAGTGGAACCTGGGCTCAGCTCCAAACCACTGGCTGGAGTTTGGATTTCAAGTGGAGAGGTGACGTCTGCCGGTTTTCAGGAAATGTGAGCCAGAAGCGATCGATCGGGGAGATGTGGGGGAAGGGGGTGAGTGGCTTTCTGATTCTCTCTCTCTGTCTCCGCTGTTGTGCACAGAGCAAGGAGCCGGTCAGGAGACATGAAGCTGAATTAATAACAATAATAACAACCCCTAATATTTTGCCGCCTTTCATGCCAGAACTATGTGCCGCAGTCTATCCCACTACCATAAAGTGTAGTGACTGTATTCCTGTGTGCTACTGTGGAGTCCTGTAGCTCACAAGCAAGAGGACCTGGGTTCGATTCCTGGGCAGAGCGAAGCCTTAGGCAAGTTTCTCTACTCCACACGCCTCTCTGACCACACCTGTGGTTGCCTCCCCCGACCCTACTTCTCTCTTCCACTGCATCCAACCCCAGGAACTGTGCAGCGCTCCGAGACGCTATCCCGCATGAAAGGCGCTGTGCAAATGCAAGTTGTTGTTGTTTCAAGTCCCGACTTACAACCTTCTGAGGTATGTGGAGAAGTGCCTGTTGCTGTCCAGCAAGCACCGAGATGCTGGTGTTTCCATCACGTGTGTGATATTGTAACAACACAGTCTCTACCTAAATAGTGAAACCTCCATTTTGTACTGATGAGAGACACAATCTCTGATACGGTAGATAGGGTACCAGTGAGCCCTCGCTCCTGCACTGCAGCGTCTGACCCCAAATCCCTGTTCCTCTCCAAACCCTTTTATATTGTTCAATGTGTCAGCCTGGCTCAGTGGGTAGCACTCTCTCACCTCGGAGTTGGATGGTTGTGGATTCAGTTAGGATATTGGATTCACACAGCCTTGGCTTGTTCAGGTGTATGTTAAAGATTCCGTGGCACTATTGGAAAGAGAAGGGAGTTTCTCTCTCCCGGTGTCCTGGGCCTATAAATCCCCCAAATAAAATGAATCATTCATTTCACGGCTGTTCGTGGGACACTGCTCTGCGCAAATTGGCTGCCGTGTCACACTTTACAATAAATCCTTTGAAGCGCTTTGAAACGCGTCCTGACGTGAAAGATTTTGCAAGGATTTTGATTATGATTTGTGTGTTGGGGGCAGTTAGAGAGATGGAGACGGAGAAGGGTTTGGAAGTGGTTTGGAGGGGTGAGAGAGGAGAAGAGAGCAAAGGTCACTTGTAAGCGCTGTAACCTCACATCACTTGTTCTGCAAATCCCATATCAGAGAAAATAATCCTGTTAGGAGTTTCCTCAGTGCCTCCCTGTGGCTTTACAGTGCGTGTGGTGTGGTGGGGGGGAGCCCCCTCAACCTGTTGGTTATATACTTGTCCGGTAATTTGGGGGGAGAAGAGGTGGGTATGAAACACATGGAGGAAAAATAGTGGGCGAACAGAGTCCAGGAAACATACCCCCCACACAGCACTCACAATCCCTTCTTGTCTCGGTTTTACTGGGAAACCAGCAGCTGTGTTAAGCTGTGTCTTAAACAGTTAAGCTGATTTGAAACGGGTGCCTTAAGGATACTGAGCAGAAGGAAAGTCTCGGATCTTTTGTTTGTTACTCAAGATCTTATTTGGGTCTTTCTTCCCCCACTCCATCCCCGTGGGTCAGAACACTTTCTGATTTATTTATCGTCTAATTGATGCGCTCTGACAGACGACAGGTTTTTAATGCCCACCAACTGTGAGGTCATTGAGAATTAAACCTGACGCTGAGGTGGTTTATCCTTTACTGAAATGCCGGCAGGTTCCAGCTGCAGGAGATTGGAAGAGGGGCAGCGATTTACTGGCTGCTGTTACTCCGGATCTGATGTGGGACTTCCCTCCTCCCTCCCTTCCCCCTTCTCTCTCTCTCTTTCCCCCCCCCTCCCCATCACCCATTTCTTTGGGGTCCACCTGTGGCTCTTAGATTTTGTTCCTGGGAGCTCGGGCAGTAATCTCGAAATGGAGAGAGTGAGAGAGAGTGAACAGTCATAATAATAATAATCCTTACATTTAATTCAGCGCCTTTCACGTCAGGATGATGTCTTTAACATGATTTACACAATTTACTGTAAAGTGTAGTGACTGTATCTTTGAAGGCAAATGGAGCAGCTAATTTGCGCACATCAATGTCCCACAAACAACCAAGTGGTCATTTGATCTGAGGCATTGTTGACCAGGACACAGCGAGAGAGAAACTTCTTTCTCTTTTTTGAATAATGTGATGGTGGAGTCCTGTAGCTCAGTGGTTAGAGCACTCGCTTTGCAAGCGAGACACCAGGCAGAGCGAGACCGTGGGCAAGTTTCCTTACTCCACTCGCCTCATAATAATCCCTCAAAAAAAAAAAAAATTGGTCACTTCAATCCACGACTGTTTGTGGGACACTGCTGTGCACAATTAGCTGCCGCACTTCGCCCACAAATATACAGTCAATTCACTCTACAGTATATTCTGTGAAGCGCTTTGAGACGTCGAGAAGACATGAAAAGCGCTCTGTATCAAATGCAAGGATTATTATTATTATTATGGTGTCTTTGGGCCCTGAACAGACACAAACAGGATCTCGGTTTAATGTTCCTCTATCAGACAATGCTCGGCACTGGAGTATCAGCCTAGACCAGATTATGTGAGTTCCAATATGAGTGGGAGCTTGAACCCATGAGAGGCGAGAGTGCTAATTACTAGTTAAATTATGGTTAAATTATGAGGACGGGTTGGATAAACTTGGTCTCTATTCCCTTGAGTTTAGAAGGTTGAGGGCTGATCTGATTGAGGTTTTTCAAAATAATAACGAGATTTCGGGTAGATACAGAGAAACTATTTTCTCTGGTGGGAGAATCCAGAACAAGGGGGGCATCATCTAAAATTAGAGCCAGGCCATTTAGGAGTGAAATCAGGCGGCAGTTTTTCACCCAAAGGGGAGTGGGAATCTGGCACTCTCTCCCCCAATGATCCATTCATATCTCACATCTTCAAGACTGAGGTGGATAGATATTTGTTGGGTTAGGGTATTAAGGGATATGAGGCAAGGGATATTGGAATTGAGGTACAGATCAGCCATGATCTTATAGAATGGTGGAACAGTTGCAAGGGGCTGAATGGCCTCCTCCTGTTTCTATGTTTCTATTGAGCCAGGCAAACACACATGTGTCACAAACACTGCTAACACCCAATATACAATACATTCCAGTACCTCAGCCCCCACTACTGTATGGTTGCTTCTCTATGTTCATCCACATACCAGGCATTCACGTGTTTAACCTCGTTCAGGTCCTCAATACCTGAGAGATGCTGTATTAATTGTATAATTGATATTTCATATTTTTGAGGGGTGCCAAGTGATGGTAACACTATACACTATATGGCACGCTTCCCTGAGGGTGATGTGAGACACATCGGAGTGCGATGGCTGAGCTAAATTGGAGGTGTTAAGGGCAGACGTTTAGATTGGTCAGCCGGGTGAGACACAAGCGGAAAACCATCCCCGTGCTTGAGATTCTCCAAACCACACTAAGAGCTCCACACTTGTACGCCACTTGCGCATGGAAGTTTCCCTGTGTCTGGAATGGAATGCACACTCTCTCTCTCTCTCTCTCTCACTGGAGGCACAGGCTCTGCTTACGTAATTCCGGAGAGTATTAGGCGCAGGTTGGCAAGAGCCAAGGCTTGGGGGGAGCTCAGAGTGTCCGTTAGGTTCTCTTAGATCCAGCCTGGGGCTGTGATATTGTGAGATGGTGTGGATTTGGAGGAGCAGTGTGAACCCAGGCTGGTTTTCTCCAGCAGGAATCCCAATCCGAGACTACCTGAGGCCGGATCAGACCCTCTCCCAATTCCTCCGGAAGAACGCCTCACTTCCCCAAAATGTGGTTCGTGACCTGATGATGGCACATTTAGCCCCGGAGCAGGTAATGGGGAGCGACAGGGGTCAGGGAGGGAGGGATGGGGAGAGGAGTGGGTGGGAGTGGGGCAGGAAGTGACGGGCTAGGCGAAGGGCAAGCAGGAAGGGGAGAGGTTGTGTGGTCGGTGTTGTTGGGGTGGGGAGGTGGATATTGGCCCGGGAGAGGTATCGATGGGCCTCCTTTGTTCGCTCTTTCACCTCCTCTCTCTCTCCCTCTCCCCTCTCTCTCTTTGACGATGTGGTTGTGCCTGTGTCAGGTGGTCCTGGCCAGCGCTGGAGGGAGCCTGAAGCCGCTGGTTTGCAACAAGTCCCGCCTGGCCAAGGTCTTGAGCTCAGCCAACAAAAATAGCTTTGAGCGTATGCAGCAGAGTCTGTGTGCCGTTCCCGAGGAGACGCTGGAACAAGCCAAGCGCCTCTTCCTCACCCAGGTGGACCTTGGCAAGCTTCTGAGGGTGAGTGTCAAATCCGTTCACGCCCTGGGACCTCCTTGCCTCTCCCACCTGCGTACTCCCCAACCTCCGCTCGACTGGCTCCAGCCTCCTGCCTGTCCCTCGTGCCCTCCATCACACCATCGGTGGCCGCGTTGTCAGCCACTGCGCCCTGAAACTCTGGAACACTGTCAATCACTGTCCCTCCGCCTTCTTTCCACATCTTCAGATCGTGCCTGAAGACCTTCATGTTCAACGGTGCCTATGGTCACCTCCCCCTCCCCTGGGCTTAGTGTTGTGCTTCCGCCACTGTCAAGCTCTGGGACGCCGCCCTGTGTGAGAGGCACTGTGTGAATGCAATGTTGTTGTATCACAGCACTCAGTAAACACTATCAGAACAACAACAACATGACATTTATAGAGCGCCTTTCACGTCGGGAGGACGTCCCAAAGCGCTGAACAGTCAGGTGTCGGGGTCCGAGCATGGGGGCAGGGGTGGGGTAGGGGGAGGGGTGCGGTAGTGGGAGGGAAGGCAGAGAGGTGGGAGGGAGACCAAAGGCACAGTCGAAGGGAAGGTTCTCAGACTGGCCTTAAAGGAGGCGAGGGAGGAAGCGAGACGAAGGGACCATGGGATGGAGTTCCAGAGTGTGGGGGCAGAGAGGCTGAAAGCCCGTCCACCGATGGGAGGGCGGGTTGGGCGGGAGACATGGAGCAGACCGGAGCCTGATGAACAGAGGGAGCGGGCAGGTTGGTAGGGAGTCAGCAGGGCAGAGAGGTACCTGGATGACCTTAAAGGTAAGGACGACGATCTTGAACTCGATCCTCTGGGGGATGGGGAGCCAGTGGAGTTGGGCGAGGGTAGGAGTGATGGGGTCGGGCGAGGGTAGGAGTGATGGGGTCGGGCGAGGGTGGCAGTGATGGGGTCAGGCGAGGGTGGCAGTGATGGGGTTGGGCGAGGGTGGGAGTGATGGGGTTGGGCGAGGGTGGGAGTGATGGGGTCGGGTGAGGGTGGGAGTGATGGGGTCGGGTGAGGGTGGGAGTGATGGGGTCGGGCGAGGGTGGCAGTGATGGGGTCGCGGAGTCTGGTGTGTGAGAGCACACGAGCTGCAGAGTTTTGGATGATCTGCAGGTTGTGAAGGGAAGAGTTGGGAAGGCCAATGAGGAGGGAGTTCCCGTAGTCGAGCCTTGAGGTGATGAATGTGTGGATGAGGGTTTGGGGCCCTGAGGGGTGAGGCAGTGGCGGAGTCTGGCAATGTTGCGGAGGTGATGGTAGGCAGTGTCGGCCAGGGCGCGGACGTGGGGGAGAAAAGATAGTTCAGGGTCAAACAAGACCCTCAGGTTCCTGACCGGCTCAGTGAGGGTGAGTGGCAGCCGTGGAGGCTGATGGTGCAGCGCCCGAGGTGCGGAGACGCTGTCGCGAGCTAATCAGGAGGGCCTCGGTCTTGCTGACGTTGAGTTGGAGAAAGTTGGCTCTCGACAGGACTTGATGTCGGACAGACAGTCGGTCAGGACACCAGTAGTCCTTTACAGCAAGATGGGATACCCACTCCAAGGCCACTTTAACTCCTTGCTCCATCAGCAAACCTCTTTGTGATTTGAAGGCCTGGAATTCTACCTCGTCGTAGCCTGCAGGACCATTTTTGTCTTAAAATTTAATATAATTATAATGATGACAATAATAACTATCCTCGTCTTTAGTCTGCGGAAACATTTCGCCAGAGACGTTCACAGTTCAAGAGCTTCAGGGTTATTGCTGTTGAGTGCATTTGTGGAGAGGTAATAATAATAATAATAATAATCCTTGCATTTGCTATAACGCCTTATCACATCGTTGAGATGTGTCAAACCCTTCACAGAATATACTGTAAAGTGGATGATTCAATGTATATTTGTGGATGAAAAATACACATTTTATAATAATAATTTTGTACAACAATAAGCCACGTTCTGTGCAATCTTGCATTTTAAGGCAAAAGTTTTAATATCTTTTAATTCCCTGCCCTTTTGCCAACCTCCCCCCCACCCCCTTAATTCCTCTGCTGCACAAGTCTCTGTCCATCTCTCTCTTTTGAGTGTCCCTATCTATTCCACACCCTCACAACCCCCTGTGACCTCAGCTCGAACAGTTGGTACTGATTTAAAGGCTCCGCTGCCTTGTCATAGTTTGTCCTCATCGACGCTTTCATCACGCCCAGGCCTCACCACACTAACTGTCTGCTCGCCGGCCGCCCAACTCTTCCCCCCACAAGCTGCAGATTATCCAGAACTCTGCAGCTTTTGTAACATAATGATAATGATGACAATAGTAACTATCCTTGTCTTCAGTCTGCGGACCTCTCCTCTCTCATCTGGCGTAGACAGAGCACTCCACTGACCGCTCCCACTGTGACAATGCTTCCTCAGGACTCTGCGACATGTCATCACTGAAAACTGTTTGCCCCCGTTACCCCCTCTCCCCCCCTCCCCGGAGAGCTTACTGTGTCTCCCACAATAAGCTCCATGAACCAATCGCCCCCACCAAACCCCCACCCTCGCCCGGCTCCACTGGCTCCCCATCCCCCCCAAGAGGAGTTGAAGATTTTTGTCCCCACTTTTAAAGTCCTCCATGGACTTCTTCTCCCTACCTCTGCGATCTGTTAACACCTAACCAACCTGCCTCCTGCCTCCACTCGGCGGGCACAGGCCTGCTCCATATCCCCTGCCCTGTCCACTCCACCATCAGAGTTGGGCCTTTAACCCTTCTGCCCCACCTCCCCCTATGGAACTTCATCCCGGAGCCCCTCCACCTCGCCCCCTCCCTCGCCTCCTTCAAGGCCCATCTCAGGACCTTCCTCTTTGACTGTGCGTCCGGTCACCTTAGAGTACACTCACAGTATATTTACAGTGTATTCTGGGAAGTACTTTGAGACGTCTCGAAGACCTGATAAGGCACTATATCAAATGCAAGGATTATTATTGTATCAAACCCTTCACTGTCCAGTGCTTTGGGACATCCTCCTGCTGTGAAAGGCGCTGCATAAATTTAATTTGTTGTTGTTATTGACCGGCGTAACCCTCACTCCCCTCATTTTCTCCTCAGGACAGTCTGCCCTCCAGCCCGGAGAGCATGCTGGAGGTGATGGACGCTATGGAGCACTTTATCCAGGGAATGTCGTCTCTCCTCCAGGAGGTAAACTGGATTTCTCCTCCCATTCCACCACCTCCCTGACTCCCTGACAGACAGGAGACCTCTCCTCTCTCATCTGGCGTAGCACAGCACTCCACTAACCGCTCCCACTGTGACCATGCTCTGCGACACGCGATCACTGAAAACTATTTAATCATCCTTATGCTCCTTGCATTTGAGCGCCTTACCCCATCATCACACCCCTCCCTCCTTTCCCTCTCCCTCTCTCCCCCTCCCCGCCCCCTCTCTCCTCTCCCCGCCCTCTCTCTCCCCCTACCGCTCTCTCTCCCCCTCCCCCCCACTCTCTCTCCCCCCTCCCCGCGCTCTCTCTCCTCCTTCCCACCCCCTCCTCCCTTCCCCGCGCTCTCACTCCCTCTCCCACTCCCTGCGCCCTCTCTCACTCCCTGCCTCCTCCCTGAGCCCTCTCTCCCCACTCTCTCCCCCCTCTCTCCCCCTCAGTGACTGACGTTCCCTCTCTGTGTCCCAACCCAGTTTTCCCAGGTGACCAGTTTCCGGGATTTCCGGGACGAGGTGCAGTGGCTGACTAACGCCCCCACGGGAGGGTCCCCGAAGCTCATGTTTCAGGCCATCTCCCGCATCGTGTGTGGTCACCCTGAGGCAGGGGGGCTGCGCGTCCCCTCACTCAACTGGTATGAGGACAACGACTACAAGCTCTTGTTTGGCAGAAACAGCACAGACCAGAAAGCCATCAGCTTCGACAATTCAACACGTGAGTAACGCCTCCCACCCCCTCCCCACTCCCTCGGCCACAATAGGGGTGGGCGATAGGGACAATAGGGACGGGGCCGGGAGGCAGGGGCAGAGCTGGGTGGTGGGGGTGGGGGCAGGGGCTGGGCTGTGGTGTGATTAGATCTGTTTGCCTCTCGTGCAGCTCCTCACTGCAAAGATCTGGTCAGGAATCTAGAATCCAACCCCATCTCTCGCATCATGTGGCGGGGAATCAAACCGCTCTTCATTGGCAAAATCCTCTACACCCCAAACACTCCCACCACGTGGAAAATCATGAAAGAGGTAAGACTCCATTTACACACTCCTTTCATGCCATGAGGACATCTCAAAGCACTTCATAGGATATACTGTAAAATACGCAGCAGCCAATTTGCATACAGCAACATCCCACAAACAGCCATGGCCTGAGGGAACGATTTTATTTGGGGGGTTGTTGTCCAGGACACCGGGAATGAGAAGCTCCCTTCTCTCTCCAAATGGTGCTGTGGGCACTTTAACATAGACCTGAACAGGTACAGACAGGACCTCAGTTTGGTGTCTCATTCGAAGATCGGAATCTCAGACAATGCAATGCTCCCCCAGTGCTGCACTGCAATGTCAGTCTGGATGGTATCCATTCACAGTGCCAACATGAACCCACAACCTTTTGACCCGGGTGTGAGCATGAGTGCTACCGCCTACGTAGTTGTGTGTGTGGGGGGGTGGGGCGTGGAATTTGTTTCTTGTAACCTGTCAGTTTGTTCAGGTTTTGGACATTATTAAACCTCTCCGCTCTGTGCAGGTAAACCGCACGTTTGAGGAGCTGAGCTTGCTGCGGGAGGTGCGGGGGTCTTGGGCCGAAATCGGCCCCCAGATCTGGAAGTTCTTGGAAAGCAGCCGGGAGGTTCACCTGCTTCAGGTGAGTGCGGGGGGCGGGGGGGTTAGCGGGGGAGGGGTGGTGTCAGACAAGCAGGGGAGGGACCCAGCATGGAGGGGAGATGCTGGGAGGGGGGGAGGCAGGAGGTGCACGGTGGGAGGGGCTGAGACGAGAGGGCTGTGGGAGCGGAGGGGCTGGGAAGGGAGGGGCTGGGAAGGGGGGTGCCGAAAGGGGAGGGGTGCGGGAGTGGGCGGGCAGGGAGGATGGGGCCAGGAGTTGCTAGGTGGGAGGGGAGGTGCTTAGGAGCAAGTGCTGGGGGAGTGGAGGGGCTGGCGTGGTAAGGAGGGGAGGGACACGGCAAGGAGGGGCACAGCCAGGGGGTGGGGAGTGAGGAGCCAAGAGGGTGGTGAAGTGGAGGGAGAGGGTGGGGCTGTGAGGGAGGGGCGGTGCCAGGCAGGGCAGGGCATGGAGGGGCTCATCAGCGGCTGTGTTATTGACAGCGCAGCGAGTGAGTTTTCAGGCTGACGGGCAGTCACTGTGATGGAGCCGGGATTCTCTGATCTGATGTGATTGTGGTCGGTCTCTCTCCCCAGAAGATGCTGAGGAACCCGTCTGTGTCGGAGCTGGTGGACCTGCAGCTGAACTCCAGCGGCTGGGATGCTGCCAGCGTCGCCACCTTCCTGTCTAACGGCAGCGCGGAGCCCTCCAGCTCGGCCGGCTACACCTGGAAGCGAGCGTACGGGGAGGTGGATCAGATGATCCACTCGCTGTCCAAGGTCATCGAGGTACAGAGCATGTGCTCCCGTGACAGGCCTGTGATGAGGCGCCTTCTGATGTGGTCCACGCATGGGCCAGTGCGTGACTGGAGGGGCAGCAAGTTACCACCCGAGGGAGAGAGGGGAGAGGCCGGCTGGCCAGGGGCAGGGCTGGATGGATGGGAGGTGGAGTGGTCGGGTGGTAAGGAGTGGGCCTGAGTGGATGGGTGGGGCCAGTGTGTGTCTCTCTCTGTCCCTAACAGTGTGTGTGTCTCTCTGTCCCTAACAGTTTGTGTCTCTCTCTGTCCCTAACAGTGTGTGTCTCTGAACAAACTGGAGGCGGTGGCCACAGAGGACGTGTTGGTGGTCCGAGCGTTAGAGCTGCTGGAGGAGCGTCAGTTCTGGGCTGGGGTGGTCTTCCAGATGAACGAAAGTGAGACCCCCGACCTGCAGCCGCACATCACGTACAAAATCAGGATGGACATCGACGACGTCACTCGGACAAACAAGATCAAGGACAGGTCTGGCTCCAGATCTCCTTGTCAAATGCAACAGGGTTTGATGTTCCTAGGAATATTTTGTTCATACAACAACAACTTGCATTTATAGAGCGCTCCTCATCCTCAATTGGTTCTGGATCCATCCAGATGCCGTCCTTCGGATGAGATGCTAAACTGCAGTCCCGTCTGCCTGTTCAGGTGGACATTAATGATCCCGCAGCTCTATTCAAAAAGAGTGGGACATGCAAAAATGCAAGGATTATTGTTACTATTATGTTATACACCAGCTGCACCCGTTGCTGCTTCACTTGCAACCAATTTGGAATGTAGATTAACACAGACAGACAAATATTTCATCTTTATTTCTTCTCATCTGAGAGGACTTCTGTGGGAGGACTCATTTTGGCCATGCTGTTCTTTAGTGGGCAACTCATTTTTGCATACTGTTGCAATCCTTTCAGCATTGAAGTGCAGCCGCGCTGATCTTTGTTCTTCAGTTTCATTCACTCTTCTGTCTAGAATTTTTACTTATCCTTGAAAGGTTTGATTTTCGCTTAGGTATCTTTATAATGATCAATATAAATGTATAATTCATATTCCTTGGGATGCACTCCTGACATTCAAGGCGCTTTAAAAATGTAATTTTGTTGTTGTTGCCGTGTCTGTGTCCGGTATTTTGTTCCCGCCGCCATTTGGCTGTGCTCTGTGACGCAGGATGCCATAGCCCCACGGTCAGCTGGCAGTGGTGTAACTGCAGCGAAAAATGCAATACTGAAATACATTTAAAGTCAGAACTTGTGAACAATAGAAGATAGCCGAACACAAATATGCCCACGTTACTCCCAGATGCAGTTCCTTTCAGATGAGGTATAAATCATGTCTGTACGCCAGTTGGTTATTGAGATCCTTCTTGAAGCACAGACAGACAGACTTTGTCGTTTTATTAGTATATATAAATATATAGGAACTCTCCCCCGTGACTTGCTCTGTGTTGGTTTTCACCAGCCGTCGGCACACGTGTGTGAACCCTGTGATTCTCTGCCCAGGTTCTGGGACCCGGGACCGTCAGCCGATCCCTTTGACGACCTGCGTTACATCTGGGGTGGCTTCGTATATATCCAGGACCTGGTAGAGGGGGCACTGGTGAGGGTGCTGACCGGCAGCGACCAGAAGACGGGCATTTACCTGCAGCAGATGCCGTATCCCTGCTACGTGGACGATGTGTAAGTGACAGAGCCCGAGCAACGTGATCAGTCGCTATCTTTCTCACTCACCTTCTCTGTCGCAGTCGCTCTTCCTCACTCACTCACTTTCACCCACACTCTCACTCACTTTCACCCACACTCTCATTTTATCTCCATCTCCCTCACACTCACTCACTCATACACTCGCACACACTCAAAGGAGCATCGATCTCACAATCCCAGAGAATGGGGACAGTCAGAGAGAATTTTGGGAAAGACTGGGATTGGAGGGAGTTGTACATATGTAGGATATATTTGTATGTATATATACTATATATATATCATTTCTCACCTACTGTGTATGTATATATGGGAATACACTGTATATATTATATATACTGTGTGTGTCGATGCACACAAAAAATTCTCCTAATTTTGGTTTTCCTTTTCAATCCAGTTTTTTGCGTGTGTTGAACCGCTCGCTACCTCTCTTCATGACCCTGGCCTGGATTTATTCGGTGGCCATGATCATTAAGGGGATGGTCCATGAAAAGGAGGCGCGGCTGAAAGAGACCATGAAGATCATGGGGCTGAGCAACGGCATCCTGTGGGTCAGCTGGTTCATCAGCAGCTTCATCCCCTTCCTCATCAGCTCTGCCTTCCTCATCCTGATCCTCAAGGTAAACCTTCCCAACATTGGGGAGTGGAATCAGTCTGGTGATAATCACCCCTCTCCCCGTTAGAGACTGTGTTCAGTTCTGGGCACCACACTTTAGGAAGGATGTCAAGGCATTGGAAAGGGTGCAAAGGAGATTTACAATAATTATTTGGGGAGGACAAGTTTGCAGTTCTTTGGGGATTGCGTAGGGGAGTGGGATTGATTTAGAAGCTCTTTTCAAAGAGCCGGCACAGACACGATAGGCGACTGCCCTCCTTCTGTGCTGTATAATTCTATAATATGATTTTCCCTGTGTCGGTTGAGTCACCCCCCACCCCCACTCCACCCCAGCCACATGTATGAGCTCTGCATCCGTTGTCTAAATGTGACACTGTGTTTTATCTCACACCCACCCAAGCATGGGATGGGAGGGGGAGGGGGGAGGGGTTGGCACATGTAAATATTAGCATTTCTTACCCATGCTGCTCATTGCAATGCTGCGTCTTTCGTCACTTCCCTCCTACATTATTCCCGGCTCGGGGTCAGACTCCACTGCCACTGTCAAACACTCCGAGACACTACACTGCGTGAAGGGCGCTATATAAGTTGTTCTATATCAAATGGCCGCCATATGGGTGTTGAGCTGGTTGATTGCTTGGCGTGTGCATGTTGGGCTGGTTGATTGCGTGGCGTGTGCATGTTGGGCTGGTTGATTGCGTGGCGTGTGCGTGTTGGGCTGGTTGATTGCGGGGCGTGTGCATGTTGGGCTAGTTGATTGCCTGGCGTGTGCGTGTTGTGTTGGTGCTCATTGAAGTAACTCTTGGTTGATGTTGCAGAAAGGCTCGATCCTACCGTACAGCGACCCCTCCGTGGTCTTCCTCTTCCTCGCCACCTTCGCCATCGCCACCATCATGCAGTGTTTCCTCATCAGCACCTTCTTCTCGGGCGCCAACCTAGCCGCAGCCTGCGGGGGCATCATCTACTTCTCTCTGTACCTGCCCTACGTGCTGTGTGTGGCCTGGCGTGACCACGTCACATACCCCCTCCGCATCGCTGCGGTGAGTTACCCTCCCCCAGCTCACCAGCCTGACCCAGAGCGGTCATAATAATAATAATCCTGGCATTTGATACAGCGCCTTATCACATCTTCGAGACTTCTCAAAGCGCTTCACAGGATATACCGTGAAGTGTAGTGACTGTATATTTTGTGGGCGAAACCCGGCAGCCAATTGCACACAGCAGTGTTCCCACAAACAGTCATGGATTGAACAACCAAGTTATTTTTTAAAAAGGATAATTAACCCCAACAAAGTGATCCGCCAATCGACTAACAACCGGGTTCCTTCTTACTGCGAGGTAAACAGATGCGTGTGGAGTGAGGAAACTTGCCCAACATTTCGCCGTGCCCGGGAATCAATTCCACTTGTCCCGTTGCGAGTCACGTGCTCTAATCACTGAGCTACAGGACTCAACTAACACAAAAGTAGAAGTCGTTGGGAGCATTCAGCAGGTCAGGCAGCAACTACAGAGAAAGGAAAGGGAGTTGATGACATCGATCTGAAACGTCAACTCACTTTCCTCTCTCCATAGATGCTGCCTGACCTGCTAAGTGTTCCCAGTGACTTCTCCAGTAACTAATCACCACTCCCCTCACCTGGTAGTGTTTGTGTCGCTCAGATATATGAGTGTTTGTGTCGGAGTCACTGTCTGGTGAAACCCCCTGACTCTGCCTAATGGACAAGCCGGTCAATAATAAATGAGTCTGACTGATTTGAGCTGGAAATGAAAGTGATTATCTGATTGATTGACTGATTGATTGATTGATGGAATATTTCCATCAATTCCTCCCGGTTTTATTCCTGTTCCTGAAGAGATGAGCAAGCGATTTTGTAATGAGTTCAGTGAAAGACTGACTGACATTCTTGCTCAATTTCAAGGGGGGGGGGGCATCATCTTAAAATTGGAGCCAGGCCATTTAGGAGTGAAATCAGGAGACAGTTATTCACCCAAAGGGTAATGTAAATCTGGAACGCTCTCCCCCAAAAGGCTATGGATGCTGGATCCATTCACATCTTCAAGACTGAGGTGGATAGATGTTTATTAGGTCAGGGTATCAAGGGATACTGGGCAAGGGCAGGTAATTGGAGTTGAGGTACAGATCAGCCATGATCTTATAGAATGGCGTAACAGGCTCAAGGGGCTGAATGGCCTCCTTCTGTTTCTATGTTTCTGTTTCAATCATACGATTTAGGAAAATGTTTCCCCTGATTCAAGCTTCAGGCAACTGCCCAGGAACATGAGGGAAGGATTTCTGTCTTTGAGTAACGTACAGTTTCTCTCTGGGATTTTGGTCTTGTCGGGGGTGGGGTGGGGTGAGTACATGTACCTTCCCCCTCCTCTCCTGAACACCCTCATTTTCTGGGCTGTAATGTTATGTAGGTTTTTTGCATGAGGAAGATGTCTCAAAGTGCTTCACATGATTTACTGTAAAGTATACTGTATTTTGTAGGCAAACACAGCAGTCAATTTGTGCAGAGCAATGTCCTACAAAAAGCCATGTCTTGAATGAACGATTTTATCTAAGGTGTTGTTGCCCACGACACTGGGAGAGAGAAACTCTTCTCTTTTCAAGATAAGACAATGCTCTCCTCTGACGTGGGGGCTTGAACTCACAATAATAATCTTTGCATTTGATACAGCGCTTTTCACGTCTTCGAGACGTCTTAAAACGCTTCACACAATACTCCACAACCTTCTGACTCTGAGCCAGAGAGCCAGGCTGACTGGCTGAGATCAGCTGATTCAACACAGGTCGGAGATCCAACCTGTGGGGATCTGAGGGAGAAGAGACTGAAGGGGTTGGGGGATTATGGTGAGCAGGAGGATTGGGGGAGATTGTCAGTCTAAAGCGGTGTGATGGGGGTGGGGGGAGAATTGCCTGAGTCCGATGTCCTCCACTCACCAACTGCTTGTCTCTCTGCCACAGAGCCTGTTGTCCCCGGTTGCCTTCGGCTTTGGCTGTGAGTATTTCTCTCTGTACGAGGAGCAAGGCATCGGCATCCAGTGGTTTAACCTGGGCTCCAGCCCAGTGGAGGGTGACGCCTACAACTTCAACACCTCCCTTTTCCTCATGCTCTTTGATGCTGGCCTGTACGGAGTTGCCACCTGGTACATTGAGGCCGTCTTTCCAGGTACCTCTGCCACTGCCGTCCGTGTCGAGAAGAGTTTATTATTTAATTAACTTAAACCGAGGTCCCACCTGACTGTTCACGTGGATTAAAGACCCCGTCACGCTGTTGGATAAGAGAAGGCAGCGTCTCCCAGTGTGCCCCCCGCTCGACAACATGCTCCACCATTGTCAAGCGGTCTGGGATGCTTCCCTGTGTGAGGGGCGCTGTGTAAATGCAAGTTGTTGTTATTGTCCTGACTGACCATTCCCCAGGTCAATCGTTCGTTCACCACGTGGCTGTGAGTTGTTAACGCTTTTTCATTGAAACATCTCAACAACAACAACAACAGCAAATTGCATTTATATAATTCCTTTCACATCAGGAGGACGTCCCAAGGCGTTGACCTCAAACACGTTCTCGCTCACCACTGTCATTTCATACCAGCAAGGTCCTGTAAACAGTTACGTGGTTCTATATCAACAACAACATAACGATTACATTTGTATAGCGCCGTTCACGTCGGGAGGACGTCCCAAGGCGCTGGACAGAGTACAGCATTTCATATCAAAAGATCAATAGCAGCCGAAATAGTGGGGTAATCCTGCCACTGTATAAATCATTGGTGAGACCATCTTAGAGACTGTACAGTTCTGGTCGCCACAGTACAAAAAGGACATTGGAGAAATCAGGACGATACAGAGAAGGGAAACCAGAATGATTGAGCGAATGGAGGGATTGGACTATGAGGAGTGACTAAATAAATTGGCCTTATTCACGCTGGAAAAGAGAAGATTGAGAGGCGACATGATTGCTACCTTTAAGATTCTAAAGGGGCAAAACACTATAGATCATAACGGGCTGTTTCAACTTGTCCAGAATAGTAGAACCAGAGAATGCGATTGAAGGGGATAAATTCAGAACGAATCTATGCAAACACTGTTTCAGTGAGCGAATAGTGAACCAGTGGAACAGGCTCCCGAGGGAGATGGTTGAAGCAGGAAATGTTGATTCCTTCAAACACAGATTAGATAGTTTTCTTCTAGGAAGTAACTTTGTGGGATTATAGGACATGGGGAGTTTGGGACATGTGTGCAGGCGACCTCCAGGAAGGTGGAAGGCGAACAAGATGGACCTTGTTATTTTTCATCTAGCATTTCTTATGTTCTTATGAATGATTCATCCAGGGGATTGTTGGCCAGGATACCCGAGGAGAGAGAGAGAGAAACTCCCTTCTCTTTTTCAATAGTGCCATGGCCTTATCTTTAAGGGTTCTTTAATGTCCACCTGAACTGGCAGATGGGACCTCAATTTAGCATGACGTCAGACTAGACTGTGAGCTAATTTCTGTCACGGACAACCTTCCAACCCAGAAGAGAGAGTGATACTGACTGAGCTGGTTAAAACAAATTCCAGTGGGGGGGGAGCGAGGCACGTTAATGTATGGGTGTTTGGAGTATGAATAAAAGTGTCTGGCTTGTAAAGGGTTAATGGTTTTCACTTCCATTAAATGGTGTTGCCCAGGCTTGTCATTTGGGTTTGATGGCTGGTTAGGAATCTCTGACTGTGCCATCACTATAGCCAACTGCGGATTGCTGTGGTTTGGGCTGTTCACTGGGCCTAGGCTGGTGCCATTCCTCCAGCCCAGCATCGCTTCACTCTTCCTCTCTCTTCCCAGGACAGTACGGCATTCCCAAGCCCTGGTTCTTCCTGTTCCTGAGGAGCTATTGGTGCGGGGAGCCCCTGCCACAGAACAAGCTGGACTTTGATGCATGCAGCATGACCAAAGGTGACCGGATAGAGCGGGACCCGTGGGGAGGGGGTGAGGGTAGTGTGGGGGTGGGGGTTAGGAGGGTGGCCGAAGGTGAGGTCGAAGACGAGTGTCTTCAAACGTGCCTTAAAAGAGACGAGGGAGTGAGGCGAAGGGACTCTGGGATGGAGTTCCAAAGGCTGGGGGCAGCGAGGCTGAATTCCCAACCGTGTGGACGAGTGTTTCAGCTATGTCCAGGGTAAGGTGAGGGGCCGGATGAGGCGGGGGACATGGAGCAGGTTGGAGCCCACTGAGCAGAGGGAGCGGAAATCTGGATATGGGGTTAGCAGGTCACAGAGGAAGGAGGGAGCGAGGCCGTGGAGGGCTTTGAAGGTGAACAATCAAATGTCCTTCTGTGTTTTTCGCAGTTCATCTGGAGGAGGAGCCCACTCACCTGCCGCTGGGTGTGTCCATCCAGAACCTGGTCAAGGTTTACAGAAACGGGGAGAAGATGGCGATCAATGGCCTCAGCCTCAACTTCTACCAGGGCCAGATCACCTCCTTCCTCGGCCACAACGGAGCCGGCAAAACCACCACCATGTGAGCCTCACACAGGGTCAAGTCAGGTCAGGGAAGTGGGTGGGAAGCTCTCACCTGGTCAAGGTGTCTCGGAGTCCTGTAGCTCAGTGGTTAGAGCTCTAGTCTCGCAAGCAATAGGACCCGTGTTCGATTCCCGGACAGGGCGAAACCTTAGGCAAGTTTTCTTACTCCACATGACTCTGTTTACCTCGCAGTGAGTAGGAACCCGGTTCTGAGTCGATTAGCAGATCACTTTCCAGGGTAATAATCCCTTCAAAATCTCAATCCACGGCTGTTTGTGGGACGCTGCTGTGGATAATTGGCTGCCATGTTCCGTCCACAGCACAGTCAATTCACTTTACAGTATATTCTGTGAAGCGCTGAGATGCGTCAATGACGTGATAATGCAAGGATTATTATTATTATTATTGGTTTGTGGGCCAGACGGTGCCTGGGTTCCTGTGCTAGAACAGTCAGTCCCTTTCTCTCGGGTATATCCATCCTCTGCCTCACAGACGGTGCTGTACATTGGACGCAATGAATCGTGCCAATTGGTCAACATGATTGACCGGCCGGGCAACTGACCACATAGTTAATTGTAAGATGGACGTTGAGATCAGTGGTCCCCGAGATTGTGCACTGCAGAAAGCCAGAGTCCTTGAAATATTCCTCTTCCCCCCCCGCCCCCGTCCACTTCCCCCTGCCCTGTCCTGCGGCTCTGACCTCCTCAACCTCCCCAGCCTATCCCTTGGACTCACTGAACCTGTGCACAACCTCAGCATCAGGTTCAACCCCCAACTGTCCTTCCTCCCCACATCCGGTCCCTGACCAGGACCGCCTTCCTCCACCTTCGCCAAGTTGCCCGCCTCCAACCGTACCTTACCCTGGACATAGCTGAAACACTCGTCCACACGTTCATCACTTTCCTCTTCGACCGTGCCTATGATCACTTCCCCATCCCCCCGCCTTAGTGTCATACTCCATTTCTGTCAAATGCTCTGGGACGCTATCCTGCATGAGGGGCGTTGTGTCCCGGCAAGTTGTTGTTGCCCTTTAGGCCCAACGGTGACCATTTGGCCAACCGACACATCATTGGGGCAATGAGAGGTCAACATTGGGTGACCAACACTCATTGATCTACAGACAGTGAAGCCTGGGCTCAACCCCCAGCTCTACGTTACTAACGTCATCTTCTGTATCCCGCAGGTCTATCCTGACCGGCCTGTTCCCCCCCACCTCGGGGACAGCCTACATTCTGGGCCGAGATATCTTCACTGAAATGGATCTGATCAGGAAATCGCTTGGCATGTGCCCTCAGCATAACGTGCTGTTTGACAGGTCAGTGCAACACGACTGAGACGCAGGTCAGTGAAAATAATTAAAGCTTCCTAACCATAGTCTGTGCTGACGTTCCATTGCAGTGTTGGGGGGTTCTGCAATGTCTGAGGCGACGTCCTTCAGATTGTAATGTTATAATAATAATTCATAATAATCCTTGTATTTGTCTTGTCGTTGTCGAGATGTCTCAAAGCGCTTCGCAGGATGTTAAGTGGTCTGACTGTGTACGTAAGAATTGCAGGACGAAAGAAGGCCAAGGTCCATCCAGTTCACCTTCCACCATCCTGGCCATCGCTTGTACGTGCTGTGTCCCAAACTATATACTGTGTCCTACGATATAATTTCCTAAAAGAAATCTAATTTGCTTTTGAAAGAATCGGCACTTTCTGCTTCCACCGTCTCCCTGGGGGGGAGCCTGGTTAATACACTTACTACTTGCTCACGGAAATAGTATTTCCGCATTTACAAATAGTATTTGCATTTACCCCCTTTAATCGCAGGCCATTCCCTTTGGTTCCAATGTTCTTGACAAGGTAAAACAGTGCAGTCAAACACAGTAATGGTTCAAGACTGAGGTTGCTGGATTTCTGTCAGGTCAGGGTATTAAGGGATATGAAGCAACGGTGGATAAATGGTGTTGAGGTACAGATCAGCCATGGTCTAATAGAATGGCGGAACAGGCACCAGCGCTGAATAGTCTACTCTGTTCCTGTGTTCCTATGTATTTTGTGGGCGAAGCACGTTATTCCCAGGGCCTGTCTGTTTGTATGGGTGGACGTGAAAGATCCTGTGACACTATCGCAGAAGAAAAGAGTTTCTCCCCATGTCCTGGCCAACAATCCTCAATAAATTAGTCATTCATTTATTTCATGGCTATTTGTGGGACATTGCTGTGCGCAATTACAACAACAACAAAATGACATTTATAGAGCGCCTTTGGGAGGACGTCCCAAAGTGCTGAACAGTCAGGTGTCGGGGACCGAGCATGGGGGAGGGGTGGTGTAGGGGTGAGGGAAGGCAGAGAGGTGGGAGGGAGACCAAAGGCACAGTCGCAGAGAAGGGTCTTGAGACCGGCCTTGAAGGAGGCGAGGGAGGAAGTGAGGCAAAGTGACCATGGGATGGAGTTCCAGAGTGTGGGGGCAGAGAGGCCACCGATGGGACGGCGGGTCGGGCAGGAGACATGGAGCAGCCCGGAGCCCGATGAACGGAGAGAGTGGGCAGGTTGGTAGGGAGTCAGCAGGTCAGAGAGGTAGGAGGGAGCGAGGCCATGGATGGCCTTAAAGGTGAGGGTGAGGATCTTGAACTTGATCCCCTGAAATTATGCTGTCACATTTACCTACAAGTACAGAGTCACTCCATGAATTAGTAAATCCTGTGAAGCGCTGTGAGATGTCTTTCTGACATGATAAGGCGCTGTACCAAACAGAAGCATTATTATGATGATTGCTGATTGCCTGGTCTGACTGGCTCTCAGTGAGACACCAACCCCAGGAGCTGGGCCAGGACTGTTGATCGACTCCCATAACAGTGTTCACACGACCAGAGCAGTCAGGAGCTCTGCACCTCATAGGTCAGTCCCCTCATCCCAGGAACTAACCGAGTGAATCTACGCTGCACCCCCTCGAGGGCAAGTATGTCCTTTTTTAAATAAGGAGACCAGAACTGCACACAATACTCGAGGTGCGGTCTCACCAAAGCCCTATACAGTTGCAGCAAGACTTCCCTACTCTTATATTCTAAACCTTTTGCAATGAACACTAACTGCCGTTCGCCTTCTTAGTTGCTGCTGCACTGCAAACTAACTTCTTGCGACTGGTGTACAAGGACACCCAAATCCCTCTGAACACTAACACTATCTAATCTCTCCCCCTCCAGAAAATAATCTGTTTTTCTATTTTTTCTACCTTGGTGAATAACTTCACACTTCCCCACATTAAATTCCATCTGCCACCTACTCGCCTACTCCCCTCGCCTATCTATATCCCGTTGCAATCTTTTTGCATCATCCTCAGAGCTCACTCTCCCACCGAGTTTAGTGTCATCCGTGAATTTAGATACGTTACATTCAATGTCCTCGTCTGGATCATTGATGTAGATTGTAAATAGCTGAGGCCCAGCACTGATCCTTGTGGCACTCCACTAGTCACCTCCTGCCAATTCGAGAATGACCCATTTATCCCTACTCTCTGTTTTCTACCCGTTAGCCACTCTTCAATCCATGCTAATATGTTCCCATTAATCCCGTGGGCCTTAACCTTGTGCAATAGCCTTTTGTGTGGCACTTTGTCAAATGCCTTTTTAAAATCTAAATATACTACATCTACTGGTTCCCCCCTATCTAACCTGCAGATACATCTTCAAAAAACGCTAAAAGATTAGTGAATCATGACTTCCCTTTTGTAAAGCCATGTTGACTCTAATCTTGTTATGGTCTTCCAGGAATCCCATAACGACATCTTTAATTAAGAACTCAAGAATTTTCCCTACCTCTGATGTCAGACTAACTGGTCTATAGTTCCCCATCTTTTCTCTCCCACCCTTCTTAAATAGTGGTGTCACGTTTGCAATCTTCCAATCAATGGGAACCGTTCCAGAATCCAGAGAATTTTGGAAGATCAAAGACAAGCCATCCACTATCTCAGTAGCCACCTCTTTTAAAACCCTAGGATGTAGGCCATCAGGTCCAGGAGATTTATCAGTTTTAAGACCTGATAATTTACCTAAAACCATTTCTTTACTAATATTAATTCCTCCAAGTTGCTTTCTAACATTTCTTCTTGGTTCCCCTCTATTCTTGGTAGGTTTTCAGTGTCTTCTAAGGTGAAGACAGTAGCAAAGTACTTGTTTAATGACTCTGCCATGTCTTTGTCCCCTACTATAATTCCCCCCGTCTCTGCCTGAAGCGGACCCATATTTACACTTGACAGCCTCTTCCTCTTTATATATTTATAAAAACTCTTGCAGTCTGTCTTTATGTTCTTCGCTAGTTTGCCCTCATATTCCATTTTCTCCCTCTTAATCACTTTTTTGGTTCTCCTTTGTTGATCCCTAAAGTTCTCCCAATCCTCGGGTTTACTACTCATCTTAGCTGTTTTATAGGCTTCTTCCTTTAACTTTATACTTTCCCTAACTGCTCTAGTTAGCCACGGTTGGGCCACCTTTCCCGTGGCATTCTTATTCCTCAAAGGAATACGTGCTCGCTGGGAATTTTGCACTATTTCCTTAAACGTCTGCCATTGCTGGTCTACTGTCAAATCCTTAAGTCTAATTTCCCAGTTTATTTTGGCTAAATCCTCTCTCATACCAGCAAAATTGGCTCTACTTAAATTTAAAACCTTTGCTTCGGACTTAACTACTTCTCTCTCTAACTTAATGCTAAATTCCATCGTATTATGATCACTTTGCCCGAGAGGAGCCTTCATTTCCAGTTTGCTGATCCGCCCTGCTTCATTGCACATAACAAGGTCTAATATGGCCTGATCCCTGTTTGGCTCCTCGGCACACTGATCTAGATAATTATCCCTAATACATTCTATAAACTCTTCCTCTATCATACTTTTTCCAATTTGGTTGTCCCAATCTATGTGCAGATTAAAATCACCCACAATTAATGTTTTTCCTTTACTACATGCTCTGCTAATTTCCTGATTTATACCTTGAGAGATACTGTGACTGCTGTTCGGGGGTCTATAAACTACTCCCACTAGAGTTTTCTGCCCCATGTTGTTACGTACCTCTACCCATACTGACTCCACTTCCTGCTTTTCTGATTTAAAACCTTTCCTCTCTACTGTTTTTATCCCATCCTTTATTAGCAGGGCCACCCCCCCCTCCCCGTTTACCACATTGCCTATCTGTCCTATACAACATGTACCCTGGAATATTTAGCTCCCACCCTTGATCTCCCTGTAACCGTGTCTCGGTGATGGCTACCAGATCATACCTGTTTGTTTCTATTTGTGCATTTAACTCATCTATCTTGTTTCGAATGCTTCGCGCATTCAGATATAGCACCTGTGGAGTCCTGTAGCTCAGTGGTTAGAGCACTCGCTTTGCAAGTGAGAGACCTGAGTTCAATTCCAGGCAGAGGGCGAAACCTTGGGCAAGTTTTCTTACTCCACACAGAGCCTAATAATAATCCCTCCAAAACAAAAACAATAATAAATTGGTCATTTTCAATCTACGACTGTTTGTGGGACATTGCTGTGCGCAATTGGCTGCCGCGTTCGCCCACAAATATACAGTCAATTCACTTTACAGTGTGTTCTGTGAAGCGCTTTGGGACGTCCTCCCGACATGAAAAGCGCTATATCAAATGCAAGGATTATTATTATTATTATTTAATTCTGACTTTGGGCTATTAGTCCTATTCACCAGTACCCTATCCCTGGGCTTCCTTACCCCGTTTGACACCCTTTGCTCATCTCCCACTTAATCGGTCCCAATTTTAATTGTGATGGTATTGAATTTTCCCCTCCCGCCCCTCCCCCCCCCCTTAGTAGTTTAAAGCCCTGTCTACCTCCCTATTTATTCGTGTTGCCAGGACATTTGTCCCAGCCCTGTTTAGGTGGAGTCCATTCCTTTGGAATAGCTCCTGTCTCCCCCAATACTGCTGCCAGTGGCCTATAAAGTGCCTGCCCTGCCCTCCGCACCATTCTTTTAGCCAGGCATTCAGTTCTTTAATTTTTTTTTGCCTGTACCAATTTGCCCCGGCTCAGGTAATAATCCTGATATTAATACCTTCGAAGTTCTACTCTTTAGCTTAACTCCCAATTCCCGGAACTTGCTCCTCAACTCGTCCCTACCTGTCCTACCTACATCATTGAATTCCCTGCCCTAATCTGTCCATAGCTCCCGTTGCTCTGTGTCCTTCCCCACCACTGTGCAGCCCTCCAAGGGGCTGTGAAGGGCGATGTATAAACACAAGTTGTTGGTGTATGTAATTCTAAGTAAGGGTATGCAGTTAGTGAACCCAGTTAGTGTGTGAAGGAGGCTGCGGGGAGGCTGGGAGCTGCTGTCTGAGCCCTGCCCTGTGTGTTACAGTCTAACGGTGGAGGAGCACATCTGGTTTTACGGGCGTCTGAAGGGTCTGACGGAGGAGGAGGTGAACGAGGAGATGCGGCAGATTGTGATAGACGTGGGGCTTCCCCACAAACGTACCGAACTGACCAAGAACCTGTCAGGTAAGAGGGGGCGATGGGAGAAGACATGGGAGGGGGCGAGGGAGGATGGATGGGTGAGTAGGTGAGCAAGGGCTTGGGATTGGCAAATAATAATAATCCTTGAGTTTGATATCACGCCTTTTCACATCGTCAAGACGTCTCAAAGCATTTCACAGGATATACTGTAAAGCAGATTCACTGTGTATTTTGTGAGCGAAAAGCAGCCGCTAGTTGAGCACAGCAGCATCACCACGAACAGCCAAGGAGGGAGCGACCAATTTTATTTGTGGCCAGGACACCAGGAGAGAGAAACGACCTTCTCTTTTCTGAAAGTGACGGCCGCGGGAGATCTTTAACATCTCATCCAAAGGACAGCACCTCCAACAATGCAACTCCCCCCCCACCACCTCTCCCAGCACTGCTTTGGGCATCAGCCTAGACTATGTGATTCCAATTCCCAATGTGGTCCGTGACCTTCTTACTCAGAGGCGAGAGCCAGGCTGAGAGGGAGAGAATTGGTGGGGGAGGAGGGAGGACGAGGGAGGGTGAGGGAGATGCAAGGGTGAGGGGGGTGGGAGTGAGGAGGTGGGGACTGGAGGGGAGGCAACCTAATGATTGTCTGTCTTTTGCCAGGTGGAATGCAGCGGAAGCTGTCGGTGGCCATCGCCTTCGTGGGGGGCTCGAAGGTGGTGATCCTGGACGAGCCCACAGCGGGTGTGGATCCCTTCTCTCGCAGAGGCATCTGGGAATTACTGCTCAAATACAAACCAGGCGAGTGAGCGAGCAAGAGCAGCCGTCAGCCATAGACACTCTCTCCCTTTACACCAACTGGTGCCGAGTCTTGGTGAGGTGGGGGGGGGTTGGGTGGGGGCTTTGGGTGGGGTCTTCTTGGAGTTGAGCTGGCTCCAAGGTGTCATGTTTGGCAACTAAATCGAGTCAGCCCTCTGTGATAGTCTCCAGTTTCTGAGCCAGGCAGAAGTCCCCAGCATCCCAGGGCAACTCGCTGCTGAAGACAGCACAGCCCTACCCGGCTCATCAGCAGGACCTGGAAGGACAGATCAGTCACTGGGGGCCGGGAATCCTCCCACTCAGCTCCTGTTAACCCTGCAGCCAAAGCCCTAACGGGTAGTGGTGGTCTAAGCTGGACAAGCAGCGGGAAAGCTTGGCCAGACAGTGCTGTCAATAGAGTGGATGAGAGTACGAGCGGCGGAGGTTGGGGATTTTAACCAACCCCTCACTAGATTTTATCCCTCTCGCAATTCCTCCGCCCCCCCACCCCACATCTTCAATGCTGGAGAGGAGAGAGGGCTAGAGAGGAGACTCCTGTGGCTGGGGCTGTAGGTGCATTTGTGACCTGTGTCTCTGGCCTCTCTGCAGGCCGCACCATCATCCTGTCCACTCACTACATGGATGAGGCTGACCTGCTGGGGGACAGGATCGCCATCATCTCCCATGGGAAGCTGTGCTGCTGTGGCTCCTCCCTCTTCCTCAAGAACCAGCTGGGGACGGGCTACTACCTGACATTAGTGAAGAAAGAGGGCGACAAGACCCCCCCGGCCAGCTCCAGCAGCGTAACCATCGGCATCAGGAAGGTCCGGGGGATGGAAGTTGGGGGTGGAGGTTGGGGTGGGTGGAGGTTGGGGGGGTGTGGTGGTTGGGTGGCGGGTGGAGGGAGATTGGTTGGGGGGTGGAGGTTGGGGGGGGAGTGGAGGTTGGTTGGGGGGGTGGAGGTTGGGTGGGGAGTGCGGTTGGGGCGGGGGTGGAAGTTGGAGTGGGGGTGAGGTTGGTTGGGGGGTGGAGGTTGGGGTGGGGGTGAGGTTGGTTGGGGGGTGGAGGTGAGGTGACGCAGGTGGTAATATCGATGCGATATTCCAGTGTCGGTCACACCTTATATTCCCTATAATTAGGGAAACAGCGCTCCGTTGTTCCAGGGAGAGAGTGCGCATTGCCATCCAGACACGCGGAGATATCCGAGGCCCTCACTGTGGTTTGGATGGCACAGAGCTGTGGAAATTTCCAAAGTCCAGAGGTGTGGCTGTTAGCACAGCGCTGGAGCGTTGGCGGAGACTTGGAGCTCAGGGCCCTGATTTGGGGGCTTGGACACTCTGCCCCGGAAGGGGAGACTGAGCCCGGGTGACTGACGCCTCTGAGGACATTTGTTAGGTCATTACAAAAAAATCTAGAACGACGACATTTCTTACGAACGAGACGACCTGAGCCTGTGGCTGAGTGCCTGACGCCGGGGGCGATGATTCCCGTTTTCCAGTCTGATCCTGTGCTCTACTGTCTGACAGGACGACACGGATTCTGAACGCAGCTATGACACGGGGCTGGGCAGTGAGCAGTACAGCGAGGCCAGCGCCCTGGGTAAGTCCTTCCCCCCCACAGGCGGGGTCTGCGGCCCGGGGGTGGGGGTCTGCGGCCCGGGGGTGGGGCCTGCGGCCCGGGGGTGGGTCTGGCGTGGGGTCTGCGGCCCGGGGGTGGGATCTGCGGCCCGGGGGGGGTCTTCGCCCGGGGGTGGGGTCTGCGGCCCGGGGGTGGAGTCTGGGGTGGGGTCTGCGGCCCGGGGGTGGGATCTGCGGCCCGGGTGTGGGGTCTTCGGCCCGGGGGTGGGGTCTGCGGCCCGGGGGTGGGGTCTGCGGCCCGGGGGTAGGGTCTGCGGCCCGGGTGTGGGGTCTGCGGCCCGGGTGTGGGGTCTGCGGCCCGGGGGTGGGGTCTGCGGCCCGGGGGTGGGGTCTGCGGCCCGGGGGCCCTCAGACAGGTCACTCCTGAGGGCCCTTCATATTGTGCTTCCAAAATATACCGTCAACTCACTTTACAGTCTATTCTGTGAAGCGCTTTGAGACGTCGAGAAGACGTGAAAAGCACTATATCAAATGTGAGGATTGTTATTGTATAAAATATGTTACAATATGTTTTGGGGCAAAACAAACAGCGCACGAGGTGGGGGGGAAGGGTGGCGGGGGGAGAGGGGGGGAGAAGGGGGAGAGGGGGGAAGAGGGGTGAGGGGGAGAGGGGTGGCGGGGGGGGAGAGAAAGGGGGGAGGATAGATGAAGAGAGAGAGGTAGGGATGGAGGGAGAGAGAGAGAAGAACAGATGGATGGGGAGGAGGGGGGAAAGGGAGGGAGGAAGAGAGAGAGAGCGAGAGAGAGCGGAAGGGAGATGGAGAGCAGAGGAGAGGGAAGGAGAGATGAAGCAAGAGGGAGGGTGAGAGAGTGTGAGAGAGAGAGAGAGACGAACAGGTGGACGGAGAGGAGGGGAGAGAGAGAGGGAGGAAGAGAGAGATGGAGGGAGGTGCTCAGGGGAGATTAGTGGTGTGGGATCACCGATGACATTCTCGGGGTCTCCCGCTCTCTCTCCCAGACGCGCTGGCGGTGTCGGCGCTGGTCCAGAGGTACGTGCCCGAGGCCCGGCTGGTGGAGGAGGTGGGGCAGGAGCTGACCTACGTGCTCCCGTATGTGGGGGCCAAGGACGGGGCCTTCGTGGAACTGTTTCAGGAGCTGGACACCCGCCTGTGTGAGCTCGGCATCTCCAGCTACGGCATTTCCGACACCACACTGGAGGAGGTCAGTGCAGCCGGAGCGTGGGGAGCCGGTGGGGGGGGCAGGGGAGTTGGGGTGTGGCGGGGGGAGGGCGGGAGCTGGGCGTGGGGAGCCGGTGGGGGGGGCAGGGGAGTTGGGGTGTGGCGGGGGGAGGGCGGGGAGCTGGGCGTGGGGAGCCGGTGGGGGGCAGGGGAGTTGGGGTGTGGCGGGGGGAGGGCGGGGAGCTGGGCGTGGGGAGCCGGTGGGGGGCAGGGGAGTTGGGGTGTGGCGGGGGGAGGGCGGGGAGCTGGGCGTGGGGAGCCGGTGGGGGCAGGGGAGTTGGGGTGTGGCGGGGGGAGGGCGGGGAGCTGGGCGTGGGGAGCTGGTGGGGGGCAGGGGAGTTGGGGTGTGGCGGGGGGAGGGCGGGGAGCTGGGCGTGGGGAGCTGGTGGGGGCAGGGGAGTTGGGGTGTGGCGGGGGGAGGGCGGGGAGCTGGGCGTGGGGAGCCGGTGGGGGGCAGGGGAGTTGGGGTGTGGCGGGGGGAGGGCGGGGAGCTGGCCGTGGGGAGCCGGTGGGGGGCAGGGGAGTTGGGGTGTGGCGGGGGAGGGCGGGGAGCTGGGGTGGGGAGCGGTGGAGCTGGTAGGGAGGAGCGGGGGAGCTTGGGGGGTGGTCTCTGGGGAGCCGGTGGGGGAGGCGGGAGGGGGAGACGGGTGGAGGGAGCCGGAGAGTGGGAGGTGCCAACGGTGGGGAAATCCGGGGGAGGGGAGCCAGGACCCCAAACACCCGGCCCCCCCCCCCCCCCTCCACCATCATAGCACCAAACTGCTTGTTGAATCGGTCCCAATGTCCAGTCCTGTCCGTCCCCCTCCCCGTCCCCTCCCCCCTCCCCGTCCCCTCCCCCCCTCCCCCGTCCCCTCCCCCCTCCCCGTCCCCTCTCCCCGTCCCCTCCCCCCTCCCCGTCCCCTCCCCTCAGGTGACCCTGTTTGTTGGTTTCCCTCTGAGTACAGAGGCACTTCCTGGTATCTGTCCTGAAATTGCCCCATTGCAACTCTGAACCTGTGACCTCTTCTACTGTCTTATAGTGTTAACTATACTGTTAAAAGGTGTATGAGTCCCCGCACCGTCAGTGAGCCCCCCCTCCAAACAGTCAGTGAGCCCCCCCCCCGCACAGTCAGTGAGCCCCCCCCCGCACAGTCAGTGAGCCCCCCCCCCGCACAGTCAGTGAGCCCCCCCCCCCCAAACAGTCAGTGAGCCCCCCCCCGCACAGTCAGTGAGCCCCCCCCCTCCAAACAGTCAGTGAGCCCCCCCCCCCCGCACAGTCAGTGAGCCCCCCCTCCAAACAGTCAGTGAGCCCCCCCGCACAGTCAGTGAGCCCCCCCCCTCCAAACAGTCAGTGAGCCCCCCCCCGCACAGTCAGTGAGCCCCCCACACAGTCAGTGAGCCCCACCCCCCCACATGCAATCAATGAGCCCCCCCACACACACACAATCAGTGAATCCCTGCACAGTGCCCTCTGTGTGTTGGTGCAGCAGCCACTCTGTGTGTGTGTGTGTGGGGGTGGGGGGGTGTGGGGGTGTGTGTGTGAGGATGGGGGGTGGGGGGGCGTTGGGTGGGTGTTACGTTTGCTGACGTTTATTCTGATGTGAACCCGTTGGAAATATTTTCAGATTTTCCTTAAAGTTGCGGAGGACACCGGGGTAGACACCAACATAGCAGGTGATTTAATTTCATTTATTTTATTTTACTAACCTTCCCATCGCCCCGTTCCCGCTTTTCGTTTTCACAGCAAACTCGCGTAAGCATTCATTCCGCTCGGAGACCAAACCCCCTCTCTTCCCAACAAACCCATGTCACCTCTCACACAAAAAAAACTAGAAGTGGCTGGAAACGCTCAGCAGGTCAGGCAGCGTCTATGGAGAGAGGAAAGCGAGTCAACGTTTCGGGTCCACGACCCTTCGTCTCTCACATTGACTCGCTTCCCTCTCTCCATAGATGCTGCCTGACCTGCTGAGCGTTTGCTACCACTTCTGTTTTTGTTTCAGATTTCCAGCATCTGCAGTATTTTGTGTTTTATTCCCATTTCATCTCCCTTTCTCTTTCTCTCTCTCTCCGTCTCAGTCGCCCTCCTTCCCCCCACCCACCCCCTTGCCCTTCACAAGCTTGGGTCTGAAACACTGACTGTCCAGCTGTGTAAATGTAATCTTGTTGTTGTTGTTGTTGTCGTTTCTCCTGGTGCTGAGATTAATGGACCTTCAGACCGTGGCTGTTTGTGGGCCTTTGCTGTTTTGTTTGTCAGCAAAACCAGTCACTTACACAGCAGAGTTTATCCGGGAAGAGATTCAGACATTTTGATGTATTGCTGTGCACAGAACGCAGCAAAACACTCACTTACATAACACACATTCACTACACTAACAGTATATTACTGCGAAGCACTTTTGGACGTCCTCCCGACATGAAAGGAGCCATAGCATTTTAGAGTCATTTTAGAGTCCCGTAAAATAGTTTTAAAAGTCCCTGTAGTAACGCAAGTATTGTTTGTCTTTAATAACAACACTCATCATAATAATAATCCTCGCCTCTGATATAATAATTACTATTATTGGGCTTTATCAGGTTGTTGAGGTGTCTTGCAAACCCTTGAGTGTCCAAATTGCCTCAAAGCGCTTCAGAAAATATACAGTAAAGTGTAGTGACTGTTCGCAGACTCTGTTAGCCACGAGCTTTACAGCAACTTTCTAAACGTGCGGCGAGTTATGGAATATTGTTTGTTTGTTGGATTGTTCCGTTTGTCCAAAGAGGATTTCATATTTTGATGTTGTCTCAGCTTTTGCGGACGGCGCCATCCCAAGCAAGCGCGGGCGTGTCTCGAGGCCCAGCGAGCAGACCCTGCAGCCCGTCAGCGAGGAGGGGGACGGAGGGAACCCCGACGCAGACCCCGGTAATGGCAAACCCATCCGTCTCTCCACTAACCAGCGCTGCGCTCGCCACGGAAGACTCGCTCGCTCTCACACGCTCTCTCTCGCTCACTTCCTCTTCTTTACGTCAATCTTGTCTTTCTGTTTCTAATGCTTCCCTGACAGTAAAGGTCAAAGTGCAAAGTAAAGGTACGCTCCAGATAAGATCGTAGATAAGATTGCACTCCCACCCCGACCCCCACCCCCCACCCCGACTCGCTCAGCCTCCTCTTCCTCTTGGCTTCACCTCCCCCTCAGCTCAGCTCCTCCCCATCTCAACTTCTCCCTCAGCTCTCCCCACTCAGCTCAGTTACCCTCAGCTCCCGCCCCTCACCCTTACCCCCACCCCTCACCTCACCCCCACCCCCAGCTTGGTCACCCGGGATGTACAATAATAACAACAAATTACATGTACACACGTCGGGAGGACCCAAACTGGGGGTTGGGATCAGGTGGGTGGGGGTAGGAGGGTGACCGAAGCCACGGTCGAGAAGGAGGGTCCTGAGATGGGCCTTTAAGGACGCGAGGGAGGGAGCGAGGCGGAGGGGCTCTGGGATGGGGTTCCAGAGGGCGGAGACAGAGAGGCTGAAGGCCTGACCGCCGATGGTGGGGTGGGGGGGTCACAGGCTGCTGAGCGGAGGGAGTGGATGGGTTAGTAAGAGGAGAGCAGGTCACAGAGATAGGAAGGAGCGAGGCTGTGGAAGACGAGGACGAGGATTTTGAACGCTATCTTCTGGGGGATGGGAAGGCAGTGGAGCCAGGTGGGGGTGGGGGTGGGGGTGATAGGAGACCTTTGGGATGTCCTCCTGGCGTGAATGGTGCCGTGTCAATGTAAATCGTATGGTGCCGTGTTCTCACGTTACGGTGACTGTGGTGTGTGGCGGGGACTCGCTCGGCTGCATTTTGTGTGTGTATATATAAAACAAAACCTGGAGTTGGTGAGTTTATCCCGTGAGTAACAGAGACTGATCAGCCTGTGACCCAGGGGAAATTTACCTCCGTGTCCCCTAACTGCTGTTCACCCCTCCACCACCACCCCCACCTCCCTTTCCTCGTGGGTGTCCTCTGCTCCCCCTACAATCAGGACCCAGCTGACGGCAGAGAGGAGAGGTAGAGCGATCCCGAGGAACCCGTGCTCAGCGCATCGTGCCCGCTTGTGTGTTTCTGAACCATGTTTCTCTCCCTCGCTGGATGTCCAGAACCCCCACACGCCCCCACACCCCCAAACATCCCACCCCCCCCCACCACCACCACCCCCAGCCCAAACTACTTCTGAGACACTACTACATGAGCAACAAATTACATTTATATTGTGTTTCATATAGCGTCTTATCACATTTTTTTGGGGGTGGAGATTATCCCCCCCACCCCCTGGAAAGCGATCTGCCAATCGACTAACAACGGTTCCTATTTACCGCCGGGTAAACAGAGACATGTGGGGGAGCGAGAAAACTGGCCTCAGGTTTCGCCCCGACACGGGGTCCTCTCACTTGTGAGGCTACGGGACTCCATATTATTGTTGTTGTTGTTAACACTGGCTTGTTATAGCCTATAAAATATTAATGTGGCTGATACTCTGGCTTTGGCTTCTCTGATCCCCACTGTGACCCCCCCCCACGCTACCCGCAGAGCACAGAGAGACAGACTTCCTGCAGATCACGGACGGCAAAGGTTCTCACCAGCTGCATGGCTGGCGGCTGACCTGCCAGCAATTCCAGTCGCTCTTCACCAAGCGCTTCCTGTACGCGCGACGGAGCCGCAGGGGGCTGTTTGCACAGGTAAAGCTTGGCCTCGCTCACTCACATCCTGCCACACCCCATCACCTCGCATCCACCCCATCACCTCGCATCCACCCCATCACCTCGCATCCACCCCATCACCTCGCATCCACCCCATCACCTCGCATCCACCCCATCACCTCGCATCCACCCCATCACCTCGCATCCACCCCATCACCTCGCATCCACCCCATCACCTGGCATCCACCCCATCACCTGGCATCCACCCCATCACCTCGCATCCACCCCATCACCTCGCATCCACCCCATCACCTCGCATCCACCCCATCACCTCGCATCCACCCCATCACCTCGCATCCACCCCATCACCTCTCATCCACCCCATCACCTCACTGGCTGTGTCACACACGCAAACACTAACAACAACAAGAACAAGATTCCATTTATAGAGCGCCTTTCACGTCGGGAGAACGTCCCAAGGCGCTGGACAGTTGGGTCAGGACCCGAGCAGGGAGAAATGGTCAGGGTGAGGGAGGGAAGGGATGGAGCGAGGAGGGGGTAGAGAGTCGAGAGCGGAGCTGAAGGCTCGGTCAAAGAGAAAGGTCTTGAGACCGGCCTTGAAGGAGGAAAGGGAGGAAGCGGCGAAGGCACTGGGGGATAGAGTTCCAGAGCCTCGGGCTGAGAGGCTGAAGGCCACCGATGGTAGGGCGGTTGGGGCGGGGGATGTGGAGCAGACCGGAGCCAGAGGAATGGAGGGTACAGGCATGTAGGTAGGGGGATAGTAGGTCGGAGAGGTTAGAGGGAGTGAGGCCGTGAATGGCCCTGTAGGTGAGGATGAGGATCTTGAATTCGATCCTCTGGGGGATGGGGAGCCAGTGAAGGAGGGCGAGGGTGGGAGTGATGTGGGCGCGGTGTCTGGTGCCGGACAGTACACTGGAGTCCTGTAGCTCAGTGGTTAGAGCACTCGCTTTGCAAGTGAGAGACCTGAGTTCAATTCCAGGCAGAGGGCGAAACCTTGGGCAAGTTTCCTTACTCCACACAGAGCCTAATAATAATCCCTCCAAAACAAAACAATAATAAATTGGTCATTTTCAATCTACGACTGTTTGTGGGACATTGCTGTGCGCAATTGGCTGCCGCGTTCGCCCACAAATATACAGTCAATTCACTTTACAGTGTGTTCTGTGAAGCGCTTTGGGACGTCCTCCCGACGTGAAAAGCGCTATATCAAATGCAAGGATTATTATTATTATTATTACACAAGCTGCAGAGTTCTGAATGACCTGCAGTGTGGAGGGAGGTGGCGGGAAGGCCGGCGAGGAGAGAGTTCCCATAGTCCAGCCTTGAGGTGATAAAGGCGTGGACCAGGGTTTCAGCCGCGTGAGGGGTGAGATAGTGCCGTAGTCTGGCGATGTTCCGGAGGTGATGGAAGGCGGTGCCAGTTGTGGTGCGGATATGAGGGAGAAAGGACGGCTCAGGGTCGAACAGAACCCCGAGGTTCCTGATGGCTTTGAGAGGTGGAGAGTGCAGCCTTGGATGCTGATGGTGTCAGCGCCTGAGGTGCGGAGGCGCTGACCTGAGCCAATCAGGAGGGCCTCAATTTTGCGCACATTGAGCTGAAGAAAGTTGTTTCTCGTCCAGGACTCGATGTCGGACAGACAGCTATCAGAACATCGGGGGTCGTGGAGTTGAGGGTAGAGTTGGGTGTTCCTCATACATGCGGAAGTTAACCACTGGCTGTGTCGCACACACAGACACTAACCACTGACTGTGTCATACACTGTAATCAACAATAACACATTGCATTTACATGGCGCCTTTCACATCGGCAAGACGTCCCAATAACAATGATGGGTTTTCTACCCAAGCCGGGGTTTGGGATCGGTGCACGGTGGAGGGCAAGGTGGGGGCGTGGCGGGGGGGTTTGAGGAGGGACGATGTCCAAAGGCACATTTGGAAAGGAAGGTCTTGAGACAGGCCTTGAAGGAGAGCCAAGCGGTGGAGGGCGGGGGACGCGGGGAAGCTGTGGGTTGGAGTTCCAGAGGGTGAGGGGGTTGAATGCCTGACTGCCGATAGTGGAATGGGCAGGGCGGGGGACTGGAGCAGGTGCTAGCAGACAGGTTGGTGATGTTTTATTGGGTGACACACTGTATGGTGCTTGTGTTGTTACAGATCGTGTTGCCGGCCCTGTTTGTCTTTGTGGCTCTGCTCTTCAGCCTCATCGTGCCGCCCTTCGGCAAGTACCCAGCGCTGGAGCTGCAACCCTGGATGTACGAGGAGCAATTCACGTTCATCAGGTACCAGAGCGGGCGATGCAGGGAGGTGGGGTGGGGGTTTTGGAGCAGGAGCCGTGGGTGGGGGGTTTGGAGAGTGGTGGTGGGGGCAGCGGGTGTCTGACACATGTGGAAACTCATCACCGTTGGTTAAATCAAGCTGAGAATTAATTCCGTGCATCCCACCTACACATGGAAATCCCAGAGATAGTTTGTTGGGATAGAATTCGCACCCTCTGGGAGCCCAGGTGGGTGGGGGGGGGCAGCCAGATGGTTGGGTATGAGGGGGGAGGTGGGGTTTGTTATCTGGCGCTGGTCTCTGATCCGCCCCTGACCCTGTGATCTTACAGTGAGGACGTCCCAGAGGAAGCCAGCACTAAGCGGCTGATCAGTGCACTGCTCAACAATCCCGGCTTTGGAACCAAGTGTATGAAGGATCGTCCAGAGTAAGTACTGCCCCCCCCACCCCCTCCCATTTCCACGCTCCTCACACCCTGGTGAGCGCACAGTTGTGCGGTGATGGAGGAGCTCAGTGTCAGGTAACAGCAATAACAACAGCAGTAAAAGTAATAATAGCATTAATAACAACAGTCATTGAAAAAAATTTCGGGCACTCAACCACAGCTGTTTGTGGGGACGCTGCTGAGTGCAATTGGCTGCCGCGTTTCTCCCACAAAATATACAGTCAATTCACTTTAGAGTATATTCTGTGAAGAGCTTTGAGACGCCTCGAAGACGTGATAAGACTCTATGTCGAATACAAAGATTATTATTATTAATAACAGTAATAACAACTGTAACAAGAAGTGTAATAATAATCCTTGCATTTGATATAACGCCTTATCACGTCATTGAGACGTCGCAAAGCGCTTCACAGAATATATTTTCAGACCTCTTCATATCAGACGGCCCCGCCGGCCAGGGCGAGTTCTCTTTCCCACTGGACTCTGATTGGGGATGGGGGGTGAGGTGACTGTAGCCCAGTGGTTAGAGCACTCGGCACCGAGAGACCTGGGTTTGATTCCTGGCAGCGCGAAATGAAACGTTGGACAACCTTACTCCACACACCTCTGTTTACCTAACAATAAGTAGGAACCCGGTTGTTAGTCGATTGGTGGATTACTTTTCTTTCCGGGGGGTAATAATTCCTTTAAAAAAATAAAAACAATAATTTTTCAATCCCCGGCTGTTTGTGGGACGCTGCTGTGCGCAATTGGCTGCTGCGTTTCACCCACAAATACACAGTCAATTCGCTTTACAGTGTATCCTGTGAAACGCATTGAGACATCTCGAAGACGTGGTGAGGGGCTACATCAAATGCAATGATTATTGTTACTGCTAATAATTCTTATCAATACACATTATTCTGATTATAATTGAGCTGGTTTATAAAAAGAAACCTTTATCCTCCCCGCCTGCCCCCTCCCCCATCTCTCTCTCTCCTCTCCCCCCACCCAGGGACACCCCGTGTGAGGGGAGTGGCAGTGACTGGGCCCCTCCCCCGCTGGCCCCGGCCCTGATGGACATGCTGCTAAACGGGAATTGGACGGCGGAGTTCCCGTCCCCGGGGTGTGAGTGCAGCTCGAAGAACAACAAGCGGATGTTGCCGGAGTGCAGTGCGGGAGCCGGGGGGATGCCCCCTCCCCAGGTGGGTCTCCCAGCGCGTCTCCCACCCACCTGCCCCCAGGAACATCAGCTACACTGTGGGGACGGGGAGCGTGGCAGAGCCAGGTATCGGCTGACTCCCAACGAGGTCTGATTTACTGGCTTGAGTTCGAGTGTCAGCCTGGCTCAGCCTCCCATCCACCCCACTCCCCCCAGCAACCGACAGTCCAGTGATGACTGGATAATCGCAGTCAGTATTGTTCATCTGCAAAACACACAGTCACCACACTGTACAGTCAGCGCTGGGGGGATGTGCTACATTGCCAGAGTGCCATCCTTTGGATATGCTCCGGGAAGCACTTCCCCGTGCGAAGGATGCTATATAAATGCAAATATTGTCGTTGTCGTTAAACCGAGGTCCCGTCTGCGCCTGTTCAGGTGGATGTTAAATATCCCACAGTGCTATTTAAAAAGGGAATGGAGTTTCTCTCTCCTGGTGTCCTGGCCAACAATCCCCCCAGAATCGGTCACTCACCTCGTGGCTCTTGGCAGGACATTGCTGTGTGAACATGATGACAATAATAATAATCATTGATTTATCCAGCACCTTATCATGTCGGAAGAACATCTCAAAGTGCTTCACAAGATTTACTGTGAATTAGAGCGACTGTATATTTGTAGGTAAACACGGCAGCCCAACGGTAAAGTCTCACAAACAGCCATGAAACGAATGACCATTTATTGGGGGGGATTGTTGGCCTGGACACCGGGAGAGAGAAACACTCTTCAAGTTTTTGAATAGTGCCATGGGATCTATAACATCCATCTGAACAGGCAGACGGGGCCTCGGTTTAGGGTCTCATCCATAGGATGCCCCCCCCCCCCCACACCCGACAATCAAGGGGTCAGCTTAGAGTCCAGGATGGTCCAATGTATTGGCTGCTGAGGGTCCTATCCCCTATTTGAGAAACATCTGTGGGCCACATAAGCAATATTTTTCTGTTTCCCTTCCAGAAACATAATATTTCCAGGTTATGGAGGGAGCGGGTGGGCCAGATAAAATGGAGGAAGTGGGGGGTGGGGGTGTGTGGATTAAACAGGCCCACAGGCTGTCAGTTGGACCAACCTGCTTTACACCATGTGAGTTCAGGTCACACTAGCTGCCCCCTGACCTTGTCCCTGTTTTGGTCCCAGGTGCCGAGGAACACAGGGGACACGCTGCAAAACCTGACTGGCCGCAACATCTCTGACTACCTGGTGAAGACCTACCCGCAGATCATCAGCAAAAGGTGGGAAGATCCCTGTGCTGTCACTGACCTGGGAGTGTGGACGCACAGTGTAGAGGGAGCTTTACTGTGTCTCCAACCCTGACCCGGGAGTGCGGACACACAGCGTAGAGGGAGCTTTACTGTGTCTCTAACCCTGACCTGGGAGTGTGGACGCACAGTGTAGAGGGAGCTTTACTGTGTCTCTAACCCTGACCTGGGAGTGTGGACACACAGTGTAGAGGGAGCTTTACTGTGTCTCTAACCCTGACCTGGGAGTGTGGACGCACAGTGTAGAGGAGCTTTACTGTGTCTCTAACCCTGACCTGGGAGTGTGGACACACAGTGTAGAGGGAGCTTTACTGTGTCTCTAACCCTGACCTGGGAGTGTGGACACACAGTGTAGAGGGAGTTTACTGTGTCTCTAACCCTGACCTGGGAGTGTGGACGCACAGTGTAGAGGAGCTTTACTGTGTCTCTAACCCTGACCTGGGAGTGTGGACGCACAGTGTAGAGGGAGCTTTACTGTGTCTCTAACCCATGCTGCAGAGAAACAACCCATTTTGTTTCTCAACTGTTCCGAGAAGCATCAGAGAAAAAGCAAATGCACTTGTAACTCTGGTGAACAAGAGAGCAGCTGCGTGTCAAGCCTGTGAGCGGCAGAGCCGTGCGTTTATTCACCTGTGTTGTTGTGAGTGTTTTGGGAGAAGTGTGTCATTGGTGTCGCTGTGTAACACAATCTCTTGTTTATCCACAGCCTGAAATCGAAGAAGTGGGTAAATGAGTTCAGGTGAGTGTCAGCTGCTCCGGGGGGGGGATTTGGGCTGACAGTAGGCAGTGTGGCAGGTGGGATGGGGTGATGGAGCTCTTAAATTCCTATGTGGGATGAAGCTGGGGGGGTATTCGTGTTCAGGGGTTGAGTGGTGGGATATTACCTTATTTGCTCCGAGTAACATGGAGTCTCGGCTCTGGTTTCCCCCACCCCCAGGTACGGAGGTTTCTCACTGGGAGCGAGGAGCTCTCAGATTCTGCCGTCAGTGACTGAAATCAACCGTTCCATCAGCGAGATCCGCTCCTGGCTCAACGTCACCCAGGTACCCGCTCCGCACCCCCAGGGGGGGGAGAGGATCACAATCAGCATTGACGAGGGGGGAAATACTGGGACTGTGTTTACTGGGGGAGGATCACAGTACACTGGAGGGTGGGGGGTGGAGGGAGAGTTCCAGGACCAGGGAAGGTGACAGCAGACACAGCACTGTCAGGATATCACCATCTCCAGGTTACTTCCCTGAGTGTATCTGAGTGTAAATGTAGGTGTCCCCGACCTGATCACAACTGGGTGTTGGCTGTGTCTTCCCCCATCGGGTTATGGAGGCGCTGAATATATGCAGGTGGTGGGTGTCCCACATTGTCAGGGGGCGTGTCTCAGTGTCGGGGGGCGTGTCTCAGTGTCAGGGGGCGTGTCTCAGTGTCAGGGGCGTGTCTCAGTGTCAGGGGGAGTGTGTCAGTGTGAGGGGGCGTGTGTCAGTGTCAGGGGGGAGTGTGTCAGTGTCAGGGGGCGGTCTCCAGTGTCAGGGGCGTGTCTCAGTGTGAGGGGCGGTCTCACAGTGAGTGACGGGGCGCGTCTCACAGTGAGTGACGGGGCGCGTCTCACAGTGAGTGACGGGGCGGGTCTCACAGTGAGTGACGGGGGGCGGGTCTCACAGCAAGTGACGGGAGGCGGGTCTCACGGCGAGTGACGGGGGCGGGTCTTACAGTGAGTGATGGGGGTGTGTCTCACAGTGAGTGATGGGGGCGGGTCTCACAGTAAGTTACGGGGGGGCGGGTCTCACGGTGAGTGATGGGGGGCGGGTCTCACGGTGAGTGACGGGGGCGGGTCTCACGGTGAGTGACGGGTGGCGGCTCTCACAGTGAGTGACGGGGGGCGGGTCTCACGGTGAGTGACGGGGTCGGGTCTCACGGTGAGTGACGGGGTCGGGTCTCACGGTGAGTGATGGGGTCGGGTCTCACGGTGAGTGACGGGGGCGGCTCTCACAGTGAGTGACGGGGGGTGGGTCTCACGGTAAGTGACGGGGTCGGGTCTCACGGTGAGTGACGGGGTCGGGTCTCACGGTGAGTGATGGGGTCGGGTCTCACAGTGAGTGACGGGGGCGGCTCTCACAGTGAGTGACGGGGGGGCGGGACTCACGGTGAGTGATGAGGGGGCGGGTCTCACAGTGAGTGACGGGGTCGGGTCTCACGGTGAGTGACGGGGGGGGCGGTCTCACGGTGAGTGATGAGGGGGCGGGTCTCACGGTGAGTGATGGGGGGGCGGGTCTCACGGTGAGTGACGGGGTCGGGTCTCACGGTGAGTGACGGGGGACGTGTTTCAGTACTTGCAGCAGAATGAATGGATGAAACATTAAACCGAGCCTCTGTCTGTGACTGCTCAGGTGGACATTAAAGATCCCACAGCACTATACAAAGTGAGAGGAATCTTTCTCCCCCCCCCCCCCCCCCCGGTGTCCTCACCAGCAATCCGCCAAATACAAAAACTATTTGGGTCACTCCCTCCCTCCCTCCCTCCACAGCTGTTTGTGGGACGTTGCTTTGCAATTGGCTGCCACGTTTCGCCCACAAAATGCACAGACAAAATCCTGGGAAGTGCCATGTATCCTGTGAAGTGCTTTGGGACGTCTCAATGACTTGCTGAGGAGCTGTATCAAATGCAGGGAATATTATTATTATTAATGAGCTGTCGGGAAATGGAGGAGAGCTTCTCTTGGTTTCCTGGCCGACAATCCCCCAGATAAATTGGTTGCTCGCTTCATGGCGTGCTTGTGGACTTTGCTGTGTACAAATTGCTGACCTACAAATACGCTTGACGGCAATTACCTGAAATGTTTGCACATTGTAGGCACTGTGTCAAGTTTAAGCATTGTGGTTGTTATAGTTGAGGATCGTCTCCTGTGGGTTTGCAGCAGGTGTGCGTGAGGTCGCTCAGAGATGATGAACTGGACATGTGATGATGAGTTCTGGACGTAAAAGACAGTTTTTGTATTTTTTGGGGTCAGCCATGTGTCAGCCAGGTATGGAAACCCATCCCCGTGCTTAAACCAAGCTGAGAGTTCCTTGCATCCACCTACATATTGGAAATGCCTGTGTTTTTGGAACGGAATGCGTCCTCTCTCTCTGTCTCTCTCTCTACTGATGACCGCCTTACCCATTCAGGCTTTGGCTTGCAGGGTTAACGGGAGCTGAGTGGGATGACTCCCTGCCCCGAGTGCATGGTCGGCCCTTCCTAGTCCTGCGATGAGCCAAGCTGGCGGTGCTGCCATCAGCAGTGAGTGCTCTGGAATACTGTGGACACCCCTGGCTCAGGAACCGAACCAGGTTTAAACATTCCATTGCCAAACACGTCACCTTGGAGCCAGTTCAGCTCCAAGGAGACCCTCCTCTTGGCTTACCTTCCCCCCCCCACCCCCTTCTTGGATTTCAGCCGGTGGATAAAGCAGTCGGTTATTGTGAAGCGGTTCAGTAATTAATCCCGGTTTAATTTGCCGTCACTGACAGGGAAGCTCCACGGACCGGCTCCTGGGCAGAGTCACTGAGTTCATGAACGGGCTGAGCACCAGGAACAATGTAAAGGTGAGTCCACACAAGGCAGCGGAGGTGTGTGTGGGGGCGCGGAGAGTGAGGAGGCAGAGAGGGGAGTGGCGGAGAGGGGGAGAACTTGGGGTTTGCTGGGTTTAAGGGTGACCTAGCCTGTCCGTTAACAGCTATAATCATCCACGCCGAGTGCCAGCCCGTCGGTGTGACGGAATCGGGGGTGGGAGGATCAGACTACCGAGACCCCCACAGAAGATTGACTTGGTTCCAACATTCCAGTGCTACATACACCATCTCAGATGGGACCCTCCCTATGGGATTACACAGGCCCTAGCTGGTGGGTGGAAAGAGCTGTGAAATAATTTAGACTTTGAAAGTTATAGATTACTATAATAAGATGAAGTTCTGTCTGAGTTTACTGTGAGTTCAGGCTGGTTGAGCAGACAGACTTGTCTGTGTTTTTAGACAGAATCACAGAGAACCATATCAGTTGCTCTGGTCTCTAATTTAGTGAGAACTCAGCAATTATTTCAATGGAGACGAGAATAGTTTGTATAAAAGACACACTATGTGTCTAACCTGCTGATTATGGGAACGTTCCAAGCTCTGTACAGGGCAGTGGTTATCTCTGATCACAAGCTTCTCATTTACCCAAGAACATCACAAGCACTAAGTGTTGGCTGCGGCTTTCTCTGCACCGTCTCCTCCTCTGGCTCATTCTTCAAAAAAAATTGCAGTGTCATTCAGGCTGAGTGGGGCAGATCTCTGCCTCGAAGTCAGAAGGTTGTGGGTTCAAGCCCCCACTTCGGGTCTTTGAGCTCACAGTCTCGGCTGACACTCCAGCGCAGAGCTGATTTGGAGGTGCCATCCTTCGGCTGAGATGTTAAACCGTAACTGCCCGTTTGAAAAGGATTATATTTGTGATATTTAATGTTTTTTAAGGCTTTTAATTAATCTTTATATATGTTTAGAATGTAACCTACCCATAATCCCTTAATACGTTTTGTTTGTTTTAATGACTAGCTTAGCAGGGGTTACACATAGCATCGCTGGACCGGTTGAGGTCAGCTTCAGATTAAAAGGTTACAGCCTCAGACACCTGCCTATCTTAAGGCTGAGAAACAAGCAGCTATGGAAAGCTGCCCAGAAGTTGTCCATATCTCTCTGTGCAAAGCAGCCTGAGAAGGGTGGGGGCTATCTCTATGACAAGAGTTAGAAACACGTAAAAGAAAGATATAACTTTGAAGTAGTTGGAGTTAGTTGTGTAGAGAGTCACCACACTTCCCAATGCGATCGATATCGATTCTGCTATATCCATGGGCTCAGTTTTAAGAAGAGTAGTGAGGACCGTAAAGAGGTCTTTCTCCAGTCGGAGTCTGGTCTAAGCGCGGGGAATATACATTTAGATTGTTATGTTGGATAAACCTGTCTGCTGATGTGATAATATAATATCAACGTTAATCCAGAGACTATCGCTGCTTGTGTGTGAATAAAGACCTTTTCTTTGAATCTCTGTGTCAACTTGTATTGAGTAAACTGGGGCTCCACCAGACCTTACAAAGGGAAGGGAGTTTCTCTCTCCCGGTGTAAATTTCTATGGTTCTGTCACCTCAAAATCCCTCCCACTCCTTGCCCGGTCCACTGTTCCCATTGATCTTCTCCCACTGTTCCCATTGCTGAGATGCTAAAGGCAAACACACCTGTTCTGTCTGTTCAGGTGGACCACAAAGAGAAGGGAGTGTCTCCTGGTGTTCTGGCCGACAATTCCCCAGGAAAAATTGTTCATGACTGTTTGCAGGACATTGCTGGTTACCTATGAACTAGTCTCATATATACTTTACTGTGAAGTGATTCAAGACATCTTCCCAACAGGAAAGGAGCTATATCAAATTATTATGTTTATTATTATCAACTGGTTACTGTGTTCGTCCACAAAATACACTTTGAAACATCTCGAAGAAGTGATAAGGTGCTTCATCAACTGCAAGGATTCTTATTATTGTATAATATCTGCTGATTTGTTGACAGATTTGGTTCAACAACAAGGGCTGGCACTCCATGGTGTCCTTTGTCAATGTGATGAACAATGCAGTGCTGAGGGCCAACCTCCCCCCGGGACAGGATCCCGAGATGTTTGGAATAACAGCCTTCAACCACCCACTCAACCTAACCAAAGAGCAGCTGTCTGAGGTGGCCCTGTGAGTACCACGTTCTGTGTCCTTCCCACAGTCCCTCCACCTCTCCCCTCACTCGCCTCTTTCAAGGCCCGTTTCAAGACTCTCCTCTTCAACCGCACCTTCGGTCACTCTCCTACCCCCGCCCTCCTGATCCCAACCCCCAGCTGGGGTCCAAATCCCTAACTGTCTGGCGCCTTGGGACATCCTCCTGACGTGAAAGCCACCGTGTAAATGTTGTTGTTTTGTTGTCGTGTACCTGATCTGTGTGTGCCCGGCCTCTGGGGTGGTGGTGGGGGTGGGGGGAGTAGGGAGGGTGGGGGTGAGGGAAGTGGGGGTGGTGGGGGTATCCAGCTCAATCTACACAGCTTGCCATTGAGAGCACTGTCTGGCAAGCTTCCCATCGCTTGCCCAACTAGCACCACGCTGGTTAGACTTGCAGGATGAGTAGAGTTTCCCCTAAAGCTCTGCTTTTGTGCCGTTTACCCACCAAGGGCTGGTGTGTCGTCCTCTCGGAGTTTAGGGAGATGGTTACCTTGGATTACCCGCTGGCGTGTGAGGCCGGGTGGGGGGGGAGGAACGGGCAATGGGGTGGGGGATGGGCAGCTGAACGCACAGTCACTGAGCCGCGTACTCTTGTTCCAGGATGACTACGTCGGTCGATGTCCTCGTCTCCATCTGCGTGATGTTCGCAATGTCCTTCGTCCCCGCCAGCTTCGTCCTCTTCCTCATCGAGGAGCGGGTCAGCCAAGCCAAGCACCTGCAGTTCGTTAGCGGGGTCAAGCCCTCTGTGTACTGGCTGGCAAACTTCGCCTGGGACATGGTGAGACCTGAGAGCATGGGGAGAGTGGGGGCTCAGGAACCGGTGCGGAGGGGGCTGGGGGGTAGAGTCAGGGTCTGTGATGGGTGGGGGTGAACGCAAGCTCCCCAGTCGGGACTATGAACTCCCCCAGGCTGACTTTCCAGTGCTGGGGGAACGGTACAATATTGAAGGTGTCAACCCTCAGACGATACATTAAACTGAGTCCCTGTCTACCTCTCCAGGTGGACATTAAAGATCCAGGAACTTTTCAGTGCAGTTACTCTGAAACCTGCTGACTGCCGGACAAGGGAAGGGAGTTTCTCTCGGTGTCTCAGATATAAAATGATTCAGTCGCTTTCTGTCTGTCTGTGGGACGTTGCTGTTGGCTAATTATCTACTGCATTTGCTTGCAAAGCGCATAGTCACTGCACTGTACAGTATATCCTGTACAGTGATCTGAGACCTCCTTATACCTGACATTCTGTATCATATTACAAGCAACCTACTAATGATAATCCTTACGTTTGATACAGCGCTTTTCACGTCATCGAGACATCTCAAAGCTTCACAGAATATATTGTAAAGTGAAGTGACTGTGTATTTGTTTTCTTTTCAGTGTAATTACTCGATTCCCGCCACTCTGGTTGTGTCCATCTTTATCTGCTTTCAACAGAAGTCCTACGTGTCGGCTTCCAACCTGCCAGCCCTGATCCTGTTGCTGTTTCTGTACGGGTGGGTGTGTGTGAGCTCAGTCAGCTCCGTGCCTCTGTGATCAGTTCTGCTGCCCGGACACTCACCAGCGTCTTCACCCTGACCACTGCACGGTTATACACTCAGCAATAAGCAAGCCGGTCCCGCTGATCAGAAATCCAGACAATGTAGGAGGGTCTGCGGGTTGAAGCTCTCTCTGATCTCGGCCTCACACGCCCTGGGTTAGGGAGGCAGAAACTCAGCCAGGCATCACCAGCCTGCACAGGACTACAACAACAACTTGCATTTATATAGCGCCCTTCACACCACTTAGTGTCCCAGAGTGCTTAAATATCCCCCCCATCTCCCCCCCCCACACACACACACACACTCCAGACAGAGACACATTAGCTCTGCTTTATGGGAGGCTCTCCCCTTGTCAGAGGTGCGATGGGAAGAGGTAAGAGAACGAGACAAATGTCGGCATATTCAGCGGTAGAAACGGACCTTCTGGTACATAGATTTATAGTTAGACATACACGATGCCCTCGTGCCTCTCCCCTCCCCAACCCCCTTGGTCTGTGGCCAACCCTGGCTGTCTCTGTAAAACCCTCCCAAGATATCACCCCGTGTGAAGAGCACTGTGTAAATGTAAGTTGTTGTTGTAGGCGTTTGCTTACAAAAATACACAGTCACTACACTTAACAGTACATTCTGTGAGTTGATCTCCTCCTAACCCTGTATCAAATAGCAAGGATTATTATTATTATTATGCAGAACGCAAGAATCCACCAGTGTGTCCAGTCTGTTCTCAGCTGTTAGCGGCTTTACTCTCCCCCACCCCCCGCCCCTGGCTTCCTGTGTGCCGCTGTGCGGAGGGAGTGATGTTGATGGTGACCCGGGGAGCTGCTGACCGACGACCATTTTGTAGCCGCAGTCTTTCCACCGTGTAGCGGGACAGCGCAGACTGGGCAGGAGGCGGGTTCTCACGTGGGCTGTGCTTGTCTCTCCCCTCAGGTGGTCGATCACTCCTCTCATGTACCCGGCCTCGTTCCTCTTCAGTATCCCCAGCACCGCCTATGTGGTCCTGACCTGCGTCAACCTCTTCATCGGCATCAACGGCAGCATCGCCACCTTCGTCCTCGAGCTCTTCACCGACAAGGTGACCTCAGAGGGCGGGTGGGGGGTTGGGGGTGGGGGGGGTGGGATGGCGAGACAGGGGGGTGAGGCGGGGGGCTGTGGGGTGAGTTGGGGGGCTGGGGGGTGAGGCGGGGGGGCTGTGGGGTGAGGCGGGGGGCTGGGGGGTGAGGCGGGGGGCTGGGGGATGAGGCGGGGGTTGGGGGGGTGAGTGGTAATCTGCTCTGTTTCTGAGATTTCTGGGCAGTTTACAATTAGTGACAACAGTGAATTGTTACCGCGATGTGTCAGAGTTTACATAGAATCCACAACACGGAAACGGTTTAGTCAGTGCCAGTGTTCATACTCTACACATATAATTTTACCCCCTCCACCCCCACCCCCCGCCTCAAAACCTCTCTATTCCCTCAGCTGTCACCCTGGCTCCAATGGTTGCACTCTCACCTGAGACCTAAGGTTGTGGGTTCAAGTCCCATGTCGGAGTCTCTGCGCTCACAGTGCGGTGATGGGGGGGATGGGGGCTACTTGGTTGGAGATGTCATCCTTTAGATGAGACATTAATCCGAGCTCCTGTCTGTGCTGTTTTGTTGGACGTTAAAGATCCTGCGGTGCTATTCAAACGAGAAGGGAGTTTCTCCCTCTCTCCCGGTGTCCTGGCCGAGAATCCCCCAAATAACATCGGTCACTCACCCCATGGCTGTCTGCGGGAAATTGCCGTCCGCAAACTGGCTACCCACAAAATACACAGTCACTACACATTACAGTATTATCCAGTGAAGCACGTTGATATTCTTCCCCCCCCCCACTCGCTGACGTTCTCTCCCCCTCTCTCTCCCTCTGTTTCTATTGTGTAGAAGTTAAATGACGTAAATCGGATCCTGAAGAAAGTTTTCCTCATTTTCCCGCACTTCTGTCTGGGCCGAGGGCTGATCGACATGGTGAAGAACCAGGCCATGGCAGATGCTCTGGAGAGATTCGGTCAGTGACACCCCACTCCTCTCCCCTCCATGTCTGTCACTCACTCGTCCCCTCCATGACCCCCCCCCCCCAAGATCTGTGGTCAGCCTGTGGTGAGGCTCAGGATTTCCAAGGGTGACTGTGGGGAGGAGACCTGAGTTCAATTCCAGGCAGAGGGCGAAACCTTGGGCAAGTTTCCTTACTCCACACAGAGCCTAATAATAATCCTCCAAAACAAAAAACAATAATAAATTGGTCATTTTCAATCTACGACTGTTTGTGGGACATTGCTGTGCGCAATTGGCTGCCGCGTTCGCCCACAAATATACAGTCAATTCACTTTACAGTGAGTTCTGTGAAGCGCTTTGGGACGTCCTCCCGACTTGAAAAGTGCTATATCAAATGCAAGGATTATTATTATTATTACATCTCCCAGTTTCTGCTCAGCCCCTTTCCCCCCCTTCGGTGGGGCTGAGAACTGCACAGCCAGCCATGAGCAGGGCTGGGGGCCAGCGAGGTGGGAGCTGCCTGTCACAGTCACCCTGTGTACCTCCTGCCTCTGTGACCTGCAAAGCCCATATCAACCCTCTCTCCGCTCAGCGGGCTCCAGCCTGCTCCACATCCCCTGCCTGACCCTCCCCAACATTGGCGGTCAGGCCTTCAGCTTCTGTGCCCCCAGCTCGGGTCCAAATCCTTGACTGTCCAACACCTTGGGACGTCCTCCCGACATGAAAGGTGCTGCGTAAATGTCATGTGTTGTTTTTGTGTGACGTTGTCTCTGGGCAGGAGAGAAGCAGTTTATCTCACCGCTGTCCTGGGAACTTGCCGGCAAGAACATGTTTGCGATGGCCGTGCAGGGGCTCCTCTTCTTCTCCTTCACCCTCCTCCTGCAGTACAAGTTCTTTATCACCGTCAGGTCAGTGTGGGGGGGTGGGTGGGGTGTGGGGGTGCAGGGGCGAAAGCAGATGAGGTGGGGGGTGAGAATGAAAAGGTATGCATGGGGGAGGAGTTGTGTGGGTGAGGGAGGGGCTGGTGGGTGGGAAAGTGGGTGCTGGCGGGGTGGGGGGCTGCGGTTGGGGCTGGGTAGTGGCTGAGCTGAAGCAGGGGGTGAAGTGGGGGCTGAGGAAAGTGAGCCAAGTTGGACTGGGCTGACGGGCCGGGGTGGGGGTGTCGGAGGGGGTCAGGCTGAGCTGACAGTCCGGGTCCCCACAGGCCGATGTCTATCAAGCTGCCCCCTCTGGGGCCCGAGGACGAGGATGTAGCCAGAGAACGGCAGCGAGTTGCGGAGGGAGGGGCTGAGGCGGACATCCTGGTCATCAAGGAACTCACCAAGGTAGGAGCCCCCCCTAACATACACTCCCACCCCCTCCCTACCCCACCACCACTGTCGTCAACTTGCCCACCCCCCACACGCTTGGGGTGGTCGTCCCTCCCCCACCACTCCCATCGACTGACCCCATAAACTAATTAAATTCTCTTGTGTGTCTGTCTGTGTGTGTGTCTGTCTGTCTGTGTGTGTGTGTGTGTGTGTGTGTCTGTGTCTGTGTGTGATCTCCAGGTTTACAGAATGAAAAAGCAGCCCTCGGTTAATCGTATCTCTGTGGGGATTCCCTCGGGGGAGGTGAGAAGCTGCTGTCTCTTATGCTCTCTCTTGTGTCCCTCTCTCTCGCGCTCTCTCTTGAGTGTGCTTGTGCCAGTCTGGCTCGGTTGATCATGGTCTAGGCTGACATTCCAGTACGGTGCTGGGGGTGGGGGAGCGCTGAGTGGTCAGAAACATTAAACAGGTGGATGCTATTTGAAAAGAGCAACGATTTTCCCCGGTGTCCTGTCCTACAATCCAGGCCCCAAATAAAATTGGTCTTGTTTCACTTCATGGCTGTGTGTGGCACGTTGCTGTGTGCAAATTAGCTGCTGCATTTGCCCATAAAATATCCACTTAATAGTAAATTGAGCGTCTATCACGTCAGGACAACATTTTGAGACGACCTCCTCACGTAATAAAACGCAAGGACTATTATTATTACCTGTGGATGTCTGTCTCTGTCTCTGTTGTGATTGCCGGGTCTCTCTGTGCTCTGGGATTGCTGTATGTCTGACAGTGGTAAATATTACAGTGTTTCGGGCTCCTGGGAATTAATGGGGCCGGAAAAACATCCACCTTCAAGATGCTGACCGGAGACACTGAGGTCACCAGCGGGAATGCCTTCCTGAACAACCACAGGTACAGACACCTCTCCTGCTACACCCCCCCGCCCCCCCCCCCCCCCCCCCCCCCACACACACACAGAAACATCACACACTACAGACACACTACACACTACACTACACACACAGAAACACCACACACACACTCCCCACTACACACACACAGACCCTCACCCCACACACAAACACACACACAAACATCACACACTCACACAGACACCCCCCCACACACCCCCACACTCCACATCCCATACCCATACACGCACATCACCCCCTCACCCACATACGCAGAAACACCACACACACATCACTCACTCACAGACACCCCCCAACAAACACACACTCACACAGATACCGCCCCCCCACCCCCCCACACACACTCCACACCCCACACACATACACACACATCACCCCCACATACACACACAGCTACACACCCCTCCACACCACCCCAGACACACACACACAGACACACACTAACAGTCTATTTCCTGCCCCCAGTATCCTGTCTGACATCCAGGCTGTGCACCAGAACACGGGTTACTGCCCGCAGTTTGACGCCATCACTAAGCTGCTGACGGCTCGTGAGCACCTGATGCTCTACGCCCAGCTCCGCGGGGTCCCGGAGCCCGAGGTCGCACGGGTATGTTCTTGCTCTCTGACCTCTGACCCACAGGCCACCATTCCTCATCCATACCAGGTCCTGAAAAGCCAAGGACAGTGAATGATGTTATCAGCTTCAGTCAGTGCCAACTTCCTCCAGCTCAATGTTGGCGAGACAGAGACCCTCCCGCTTGGCTCCCAGCAGTGCCTCCTCACCTCAGCCGCTGACACCATTCCTGGCCCCACTCTTCACTTCACAGAGCCATTCCAAACCCTCGGTATTCTTTTTGACCCTCAGATATCCGTGACCTGTTCCACCTAGTCGCACCTCCGCAACATTGCCCACCTCCGCAACATTGCCCACCTCCCCAACATTGCCCACCTCCCCAACATTGCCCACCTCCCCAACATAATAATTCATAACTGCATAACGCCACACACCTAATAATCCCTCAAGAAAAAAAATAAATTGGTCACTTCAATCCACGCCTGTTTGTGGGACGCTGCTGTGCCATTTGGCTGCTGCGTTTCGCCCACAAATATAGTCAATTCACTTTACAGCAAATCCTGTGAAGCGCTTTGAGACGTCGAGAAGACGTGAAAAGTGCTATATCAAATGCAAGGATTATTATTATTATAACATTGCCCACCTCTGCCACTGCCTCTCACCACAGGCCGCTGAGACCCTGATCCACATTTTCATTGCGCTCGACTACGCCAACTCCCTGCTCACTGGACTTCCCAACCCTTCCCTCCACAACCTGCAGATTATTCAGAACTCTGCAGCTCGTGTCCTCTCCCGCACCAGGCTCCGGGAACCTATCGCCCACGTTCTAGCCCGGCTTCACTGGCCTCCCGTTCCTCAGTGAATTAAGTACAAAATCCTTGTTCTTACCTTCAACGCCCTCCATGGTTTTGCTCCCTCACCCACCTCTCCAACCTCATAACCCCACATCAGCATGTCTGTTCTCTCCACTTGGCGGACACCGGCTGCTTCAGGTCTCCTGCACTTCCCGCCCCACCATTGGCGGTCGGGCATTCCGCATCTCTGCTCCCACACTCTGGAATTCTATCCCGCAATCCCTCTGCCTCACCCCCCTCTCTTGCCTCAACCAAAATCCTGACTGAAGCCACCCTGCCCTCCTCCCCTTCTGACCCCAACTCCCAGCTCAGCTCCAAAACCCCTGATTGTCCAGCTCCCCGGGACATCTTTCCCTTGTGAAGGGCGCTAGACAAGTGTAATTTGTTGTTTGTGTGTGTGTGTGTGTGTGTGTGTGTGGTTTACACTGACACTGTTTGTGTGTGTGTGGGGAGGTTTACTCTGACACTGTGTTATCCCCAGGTGGCTGAGTGGGGGATCAGGAAGTTGGGGTTGGTGAATTACGCAGACAGACCGGCCGGGACCTACAGTGGAGGAAACCGTCGCAAACTCTCCACCGCCATCGCCCTCATCGGCTGCCCCGCCGTGGTCTTCCTGGTCAGTGAGCGCCTTGGGGTTCAACATGGTAATGATGGGGGGGCGGGGAGACAGAGAGAGACCGGGAGGAGACATCCGTGTCCTTGGGGGGGTCAGAACTGAGCCTCGGAGTGTCGGCTGCCACGTGCTGGGCTCCTTGGTCAGTGTTTGATGCCCTGCGCAAATTGGCTGCTGCGTTTCGCCCACAAACTGTGCAGTCGATCCCCTTTACAGTAAATTTTGTGAACCACTTTGAGACGTCTCAACGATGTGGTGTCCCTCGAGCTGCCCTCACAGCTAATGAATCCGTTGTCTGACCCTGATTTGTGTGATGAGATGATTTGTCAGACGTTTCTCTCCCAAAGGCCGTGGCTCTGTAAATGGGGAATTATTATCCGAGCCGTGGACTTCCATGTGGTTTATTGTGGCCTCTCCTGGGTGATGTGTGACGATGGCCCTGTCCCTTTAACAGGATGAACCCACCACGGGGATGGACCCCAAGGCTCGGCGGTTCCTGTGGAACTGTATCCTGAGTGTGATCAAGGAGGGTCGCTGTGTGGTGCTCACCTCCCACAGGTCAGTGTCCGCCACGTCCTCACCAGTAGCCACTGAGCCGTGGTGATCCCAGCTCTCGCGGGTCTTCATCTAAATCAGGAGTGTGTCTGCTTCTGTGTGTGAGAGTGTAAAGAGGGGAATCACTGTGTGTGAGAGTGTAAAGAGGGGAATCACTGTGTGTGTGAGTGTAAGGAGGGGAATCACTGTGTGTGTGTGAGTGTGTAAGGAGGGGAATCACTGTGTGAGTGTGTAAGGAGGGGAATCACTGTGTGAGTGTGTAAGGAGGGGAATCACTGTGTGAGTGTGTAAGGAGGGGAATCACTGTGTGAGTGTGTAAGGAGGGGAATCACTGTGTGAGTGTGTAAGGAGGGGAATCACTGTGTGAGTGTGTAAGGAGGGGAATCACTGTGTGTGTATATTACAGTATGGAGGAGTGTGAGGCTCTGTGCACCCGAATGTCCATCATGGTGAACGGGCAGTTCCGGTGCCTCGGCAGTGTCCAGCACCTGAAGAGCAGGTAACTTGCCCCCCACACCCCCCCCCCTCCCTTCCCTTCGTTCCCCTGCTCCTGGGGCACTTATACAGCCCCAGGGCAGGGCAGGTCCTCATGTTTCACATCCAGTTGTTTTCATATAATATTATTGTTATATACAAATGAAAAAGCCTGTGAGCAACAACAGGCACCGAGCGAGACTGGGCAGACAGGTGGTAAGTGAAGTTCAATGCAGGCAAATGTGAGGTTATATTTGGGGAGGAAGAACGAGAAGAACAAGTGTATGTTGGGTCATAACATACTAAAAGGGCTGGAGGAGCAGAGGGACTGAGCGGTTAATGTGCATCAATCCTTAAATGTGGGAAGGCGGGTGGACAAAGTTGTCCAGAAAGAATTTAAAATCGTAATGGAGAGGAGGAGGAAGAGGGGAGGTTTATAAATACAGTTACATAGAATATAACGGCCCAGCGACCAGGCCAAACTTGTATAAATTGTTAGTTCGACCACAGTTAGAATATTGCATCCAGTTTTAGTAAATGCGACTGAAAGGATTGCTCTTAAACGAGCCCCAGGGATACGACAAACCGAACAGCCTTCTTCTGTGCTGTAAATATCTGTGGTCCTAACTCTCTCCCCTCTCCCTCCCTCCCTCCCTCCCCACCCTCCCTCCCTCCCCGCCCTTCCTCCCTCTCTCTCTGTCTCTCTCACCCTCTCTCCCTCCCTCTCTCTCTTTGTCTCCCCCTCACCCTCTCTCCCTCCCTCTCTCTCTTTCCCTCCCTCCCTTCTCTCACCTCCCTATCTCCCTCCCTCTTTCCCTCTCTCTCCCTTCTTCCCCCTCTCTCTCGCCCTCAGGTTCGGAGATGGCTACACCATTGTCCTGCGGCTGTGTGGGCTGGCCTCAGACTTGCCGCCTGTGGAGGAGTTCATGGGTGCCAGCTTCCCGGGCTGCGTGCTGAAGGAGCGACACCCCAACATGCTGCAGTACCAGCTCCCAGCCACCCACTGCTCCCTCGCCAAGATCTTCAGTGCCCTGACCTCCAACAGGCAGAGGCTGAGGATCGAGGACTACTCCGTCTCACAGACAACGTTAGACCAAGTGAGCTCCTCTCCCTCCTCCTCCTCCTCTTCAACACTCCCTCTCTTCTATCCCTTCTTCTCTTCCTCCTCCTCTCCAGTTGCACACAGTAATATCCCACAACAGCACCGTAAAGTGAGGGACCCGTTTTATCTGGGGATTGTTGGCCAGGATTAATGGGAGAGCATTAATGCTCTTTTCGAGCAGCGCAGTGAGATCTTTAACGTCCACCTGAGCGGGCAGGCGGGGCCCAGGTTTAATGTCTCAGCCGGAGCACGGCAACTCCGACAAGGCAGCTCCCCCCGAGCCCTGGGGCGGAGCGTGAGCTTAGACTGTATGAGTTCTAACCCACAACGTTCTGACTCAGAGAGTCTTATCCACTGAGCCGGGCTGACACACACATGCCTTCTAATGACTTGCCCAGGGCAGGGCAGGCCGAGGGGGTGGGGGGAGGTGAGGCGTGTGCTGCTGGTGATATACCTATAACCAGAAGACCACGCGGGTGGGGGTTGGGGGGGAGGGGGAGACGGGAACAACATTCTGTTTTTCTTCTGAGTTACAATTGATTTATACATTGTTATAAAACATATAAACACTGGTGAGGCCTCAGCGAGAGACTGGGTTCAGTTCTGGGCCCCACACTTTAGGAAGGATGTCAAGGCATTGGAGAGGGTGCAAAGGAGATTGACCAGAATGGTACCAGGAATGAGGGCCTTCAGTTATCAGGAGAGGCAGAGAAGTGAGGGTTATTCTCCTTGGAGCAGAGAAGGTTAAGAAGAGACTTAATAGAAGTTTTCAAAATGATGAGGAGATTCGATAGAGTGAACAAGGAGACACTATTCTCACTGGCGGATGGGTCGGTGACCCGAGGACACAGAGTTAAAATAGTTGTTAAAAGAAACCGAGGGGAGATGAGGAGAAATGTTTTCACACAGCGAGTTGTTGGGATCTGGAACATTGCCTGAAAGGCTGGTGGGAACCGATTCGATAACAGCTTTTAAGAGAGAAGTAGAAAATTATTTGGGGAGGACAAGGTTGCAGAGCTATGGGGAGAGAGTGGGGGAGTGGGGTTGAATTGGAATCTCTTTTCAAAGAGCCGTCACAGACACGATGGGCCGAATGGCCTCCTTTTGTGCTGTAAAATTCTATGATTCTATGATTAGTGTTTAACGTGAGCAGCAAGTGTTAATCGGGAGGTGTGACTGGGCCGGTGGCTGCGGTGGTCTCTCTGCCCAGAGCCCACAGGAAAGGCAGGTGACATCCACGGCTCTCTCTCTCTCTCTCTCTCTCTCTCTCACTCTGGACCTGTTTTTCTTCCTGGATTGTGTATATAAGCAACCAGTCTGGGTGTAGAAAACATATTTATTTACACCAGTGAGGGCACTGCCTGCACTCCCCTCATCCTGTCTCCTCTCCCCTCAGGTGTTTGTTAACTTTGCCAAGGACCAAAGCGATGAGGACCAGCACACGAAGGCCGTGCCCCCCGACCAGCCCAGCGAGGCTTTGCAGAGACACATCACAAGCTTCTTAACAGACGATACTGTGAAGGAAAGTATTGTATGATGGGACCCAGCGCCGCCCAGTGTCTGCGCGGAGCAGCGAGCGGAGGACAGAGTCTCTCCCGCATTCAGCAACTCACTAAACTATCACACAACGAACTCTGGTTTGAAGTACAAAAGAAAGTATTTTTTCCCCCTTTCACACTCCCGACAGAGATCTTTCCTTAACGTCAAATGAAAATAATTGCAAAAGAAAGTCTTTCTCTCTTTCTCTCTCTCTCTCTGGCTCTTTCTCTTTTGGCTCCCACACCCTCTCTCTCTCTCTCTCTCTCTCATTCACCATCTCTCACTTGCTTCCTCACTCCATCTCTGCTCATGTTATCTCTCACTCTTCCTCTATCTCGCTCACTCTCTCCCTGGCTCACACCCTCACTCTCTCTCTTTCTCTCTCTCTCTCCCTGTGGACCTGCTTTCTTCCTGGATGTGTATATAAGTGATCAGCCTGTGTGTACAAAACATATTTATTTACGCTGCTTCTTTTGCGACTGCGCTGGCTGCCTGCCCCGGGCTCCGTGCGACGTTCCAGTGCCTGACGTTCCCGGGGGATTTGCTGGGATCTGCTGACAATCGAGTGCTGGCAGTGACTCACTGTGTAGGGAATGCGCTCTCCCTCCTCCCCACCTCGCTCATTTCCCGTGGGGTCAGTGCTAAGGGCGGGTCCCCTTGGCGACGCTGTCCCTCTCTGCGAGCCCCCCCCACCCCTTTCCCCCCCCTGGACTCCCTGTTACAATCCGTGATTAAAGCCCTGTGGAGAGTGCGCTCTCTGGCCCAGCAATCCAGCTCTGGGATTTCCAAGTGTAAGCGGGAGGCGAGGGAATCTCAGCTTGGGAACAGGGATAGGTTTTCGGCCTAATCCAGAATAGACATCATTTCCCCTCCGCCCCCTGCACTCACCTCCCCATCTCCGCTCTACACTGAGCCCCTCAGCCTCTGAGGGGCTTTCAGCCTCTCACACAGAGCCGGTTTGACACCAAGTCTCCGCAGGTTTATACCAGGGTCCAAGCTGTCATCTGGCAAACACCGCCTGCCCCCCAGCCCCGGGTCCTGCAGCTCAGACCCCGAGCAACACTTTGGGGTTTGTTTTTGCAGTGAATAAAACTGCTCTGAGATTTAACATTCCTGACACTGAGCAGATCTCCCGGGCGCTGAGCTTCCTGACTTGACCGATGGTGTGTTGTGTTACACTCACGCCCCGGCCTGTCGAGCTGTGCCTGGAGCTGGGCTGGGTGTCTCCTGGGGCCAGTGCAGGGGTTGGGGGGCATGGGAACAGCTCGCTCTGAGAGCCCCAGTGGACTCGCTGGGCCGAATGGCCTCCTCCTGTGATGTAGGTTTCTGTGATTGTTCAATGACGTAAGAGGTCAGTGACTAACACTGGGAACCTGCAGAGGAACAGCCTCAAGGGTCGGGGGCTCTCTCACCGCTGCCTGGAGAATTGGGGAGGGGGGCCAGACGCTGCAGAGGTCACCTCGCCTGGTGGGGGGGTGAGGAGAAACGTCCAGCGCAGGTTCAGGACATGATCAGAGGTGGCAGATCCCACAACCTGGGGAGAGAATCCTGATGGTGATGCCGCTGCTGGTGTCAACACGGGATTGTGATCCGAGCCGAGGCCGTTGTTTCTCTATCACAAGATGACTGTTAGCTGAAGGAGCACTGGTCACTAACCTGAGCTGTCGCTGACCTGGGAGTGTGAACAGACAGTGTAGAGGGAGAGATGGGAGCCTAAGTATAGGTCTGTGTCTGTTTCTTAGCCCAACTCTAACCCCCCCCCCATCCCGCTCCCCTGCCCCCGCCGCCCCCAAAAGCACAAAACTTCGCCCCCAAGGTAATATTTCCATCCCATCATTGAGGACGATCGCTCCGTGATGTCAACACCAGATTGGGTGTGTTTTTTTTTTAGCAAAGGCAGTCGCACTGGCTGAACCTGGCCTTACAGGGCGCCTCGCAGAGGGGAAGCTCATCAGCCTTTAGAGGGTCCCACATAGGGGTGGTGGGGGTGGGTGGGGGTGGCAGTGGCTGTGACTGTTGGGGGGTGTCGGGGGAGCAGTGAAGGAAATTAAAAATAAACGGTATGAAGGTGCAGGCTGCCGGGGCGTGTGAATCCGACGGTTATTCTGCGAAGCGCTTCGAGACGTCTCAGCGACGCGATGGGGCGCGGGCTCGAACGCGGACCCCCCACCCCCGCGCTGCACGGGATGCAGTGACGCGTTGCCGGAGTCTCGCGTGTTCGGCGGTGAGAGCGAGCGGACGCCTGGCGTATATTTTATAGCCTGGGTTGTAAACGAGCCCTATATTTGAACGCACGTGCGAAGACGGTCACTGGTTTCACACTGAAATGACATTAAAAAATGGTACTTCGGAACTGGACTGCGAACTCCTTTAGGTACTCTCTCGGTAGAGACAGAACAGGTTTAGGTGTAACAACAGAAGTCACTCCGAACACTCGGCAGGTCAGGCAGCATCTATGGAGAGAGGAAAGCGAGTCAATGTTTCGGGTCCACGACCCTTCGTCTCTGACGAAGGGTCGTGGACCCGAAACATTGACTCGCTTTCCTCTCTCCATAGATGCTGCCTGACCTGCCGAGTGTCCCCAGCAACTTCTCTCTCTCAAATAAAAGAGTCAACAAACTGAGCCACGGAAATAAAATGCTGAAACCAAGACACAGCAACAGAGAAACACGGCCATCATCAGCCGTCGTTGGGGGGGTGGGGTGGGGGGGGATATATAACACGCATTATTTCAATAGATGGGCCCTTGGATTTGGTTTGCAAAACGATGGCCACCGGAATCCTAACCCCTTCCTCAGTGTGTACTTGTCCATTTCCTGTTTAAACGCTTTATACGCTGAGCCCGTCTGGAACCTCGGCGTCTAGTTTGACCCTCAACTGTCCTTTCTGCCCCACGTCCGTGCCATGACCCGCTCTGCCTCCCCCCACCTCCGCAACATCGCCCGGCTCCTCCACTGTCTCACTGTAAGCCGCTGAAACCCTCATCATCATAATAATAATAACAATCCTTGTATTTGATATAGCGCCTTTCACATCTTCTCGACGTCCCAAAGCGCTTCACAGAATAGACTGTAAAGTGGATTGACTGTATATTTGTGGGCGAACGCGGCAGCCAATTGCGCACAGTAATGTCCCACAAACAGTCGTGGATTGAAAATGACCAATTTATTATTGTTTTGGATTTGGAGGGATTATTATTAGGCTCTGTGTGGAGTAAGGAAACTTGCCCAAGGTTTCGCACTGCTGCAAACTGAACCCAGGTCTCTCGCTTGCAAAGCGAGTGCTCTAACCATTGAGCTACAGGAGCTACACGCATTCATAACATCCAGGCTTGACTATGGAAAATCATTGCTTGTCGGCCTCCCCAACTCCTCCCTCCACAGGCTGCAGATCATCCAGAACTCGGCAGCCCGTGTCCTCTCCTGCACCAAACTCTGACCCCATCTCCCCCATCCTCGCCTGACTTCCCATCCTATCCTTCCCATCGCGCAATAGATACAGTTCAAGATCCTGGTCTTCACCTTCAGAGCCTTCCATGGTCTTGCTCCCCCCTATCTCTGCGATCTCCTAACCCCCTACCACCCTGCTCGATCCCTCCGCTCAGTGGGCTCCAGCCTGCTTCATGTCCCCTCCTCACTTGCCCCACCATTGGCAGACGGGCCTTCTACCACTCTGCCCTCACCCTCTCCTGCAGTCCCTCTGCCTCACCCCCTCCTTTGCCTCCTTCAAGACCCATCTCAAGACCCTCCTCTTCGACCGTGCCTTCGATCACCCTCTTCCCCCCCTACCCTCCACCCTTCCCGACCCCGATCCCTGCTCGGGTCTGAAACACTGACTGTCCAGCGCCTTGGGACGTCCTCCCGACATGAAAATGTGTGAATGTAATTTAGTTGTTTATTCTGCTCTGCTCTCACAGCGGCTCCTGGCAAACCCCTCAGCAGGAGCAGATCGTCTCTATTTGCTCCAGGAGTCAGTCCTGAATTTATGTCCTCGAATCCCGAACAGGGAAACCAAGATTTTTTTTTACCAAAGAATGAAATTGTCTCCCAGTGAATAGACCGCGGCTTCTTGACATTCCAGAAGCTGATTTGAAGACCATCTCATCTTTCTGTGATGTTCAAGTGCTCAGGGACACTGCCCCACGTGAGGGGCGCTATATAAATACAAGTTGTTGTTGTTCTCGGCTATTTATCAAACCGGATTAGACTCAATTTTGCGTGTCTGACGCTGCGACGTGGCTCCCTCTGAACTCCCACACGCCTGTCCTGACAGCGAGCTCGGGCAGGAACTCTGGGTCTCAGGGCGGGAACGCCACTCCCTCTGGGCAGGATTTTCCCAGGATTCGGGTGGACTGACCGGTCGGGCCTGGCCGGCTGCCCCCCCGGTTCGCTCCCTCTGCAACGGAAAAATGACAAAAAATGTTTTTCGCGAGAACTTCAGGGCCCCCAGTGTCCAACCTGGAGACGGTGGGTTTTGTGCCAACAAAAGATCATCAGCTTCAGAACCGCCCCCTGCCTGAGCCCCCGGCTCTCAGGTCCTCAGCGCAACAACAACAACTTACACTTATGTAGCCCCCTCCACACAGGGCAGCGTCTCGGAGCGCTTAAAGGACAGACAGGAAAAGCAGCGGCAACTTCTGGGGTTTTTCCCCAGAGCTGGTAGAGGGGAAAAAGCTGAGGCTTCTTTTTTTGCTAACTGTTATAATATAAAAAATATACGGAGAATATACGGAGTCCCTGTAGCTCAGTGGTTAGAGCACTTGTTTCGCAAGTGAGAGGACCCGGGTCGATTCCCGCCCGGACAGGGCAAGCTTCGGCAAGTTTCGTTACTCCACACGCCTGTTTACCTCGCAGTAACTAGGACCCAGTTGTTAGTCGATTGGCTTTACTAGGAAGATAATCACTTAAAATATAAATTAAAAATAATTTGGTCTCTCAATCCATGACTGCTGTGTGCAATTGACCGCCATGAGCACACAGTCACTCCACTTTACAGTAGATCATGTAAAGCGCCTTGAGGCATCTTTCCAACATGAAAGGCGCTTGTGTCAGATTTAAGGATTATTGTTAAATATTATGCCGACACTCCTTGTCTTGGCTCACACATGAAAAACCTCTAGTCAGTGAGTCAACGGCTGTGCCCAGGGAACGGTTCTCAGGTAGAAACAAAAGGAGATGAGGAGAAGGAGA